GAACTGTGAGAAATAAATCTCTGTTGCTGTGAGTCACCTTTATGCTATTCTGTTGTAGCAGCCTGAATGAACAAGAGAGATACAAACTTCAAAAGTTAACTCAAGAAGAAGCTGGAATAACTCTATTTTGTTAAAGAAATTGAATTCGTATTTAAAACCCTAACCATCAGATAGAATCCAGATCATTTCACAGGTGAATTTTACCATACATTTAAGGAAGACATTTATCAGTGACAAACTCTTCCAGAAAGTTGAAGGGGAAGAAATTCTCTCTTAATTTCATTCTGTGAGACTAGCATTAAATGGATACCAAAACCAGATAAGAAAACTACCATCCAATATCTCTTATTAATATATATATAGTATTTGAAAAAAATTTTTAAGGAATATAATTTAAGACTACATAAAAAGAATAATATATCATGATTGAGTCAGGTTTATCTCAGAATTGCGGAGTTTGGTAATAACCTGAAAATTAATCAGTGTGTTTGATTTATTAAATAACAGGTAAAAAAAACCCATATGTGTTAGTGTATGATAAAGAAATTGTGTGATGAAATACAACATCTGTTTCTGATAAAAACCTCAAATAGAGGTTTCCACTTCTCTCTTTCCATTTATTTATTTCAAAGAAGTATGTATCAGAGCAACCTCCTTGCAGTTGTCCCTCTAACACAATAAATATAATTACAATTATATCATCCATTCGACCATAAATATAATACTTATACTATGGTAAGTTGGCATATTCTTTTCAAAAGATCAAAGGTAACATATAACAGTAGTTACGCAGGCAGTTTTATACTCTGCTCCAGAAAGTGGACTTCGGCAATTTATTTTATAACTTAACAGAAGATGAAACATTTGATAAGGAGAGATCCTTTTGAGATACTTTTGTGTGTGTGTGTGTGCAAAGTATACAGAATACTCATAATTGTAATTATTTGGGAGTGTGCGACTCAGAGGCATTAAATGCATTAGTACTTGTGTATTAAATGCATTAGTAATTGTGTAGCCCTTACCACTGTCCTGCCCAGAACTTTTCCATCATTACCAACCTAAATTCTGTACCCTTAAAAAGTAACTCCACATTGTTCCCTCTCCTTGTAACCTCCATGCTTTTAGTTTCTTTTTATGAATTTGCCTATTTTAGGTACTTCATATAAGTCAAATCATATCAATTTGTCTTCCATGTCTGGCTTATTTCACTTAGCATAAGGCTTTCTGTGTTCATCCATGTTGTATCATTGATCAAAATTTAATTCCTTTTGGCTTCCCCTGGTGGCGCAGCGGTTGAGCGCTGGGTTGCGAAGCTGCCCGTAGCCTCTGCGGCGCCGGTTCGATCCCCGGCTGCTCCCCGGCCACCGGAGGAGGGTCCCACATGGCGCGCAGACCTCTCCTGCCTCCCGCTGCTCCCCTCAGCAGTGTACTTCGGTCCTTCTGCCTGCTCTGCTCCCCGCTCTGGCTCTGGTGAATTCTCTCACCCTCCCGCGCTTCTGACTGTACCCAGTGCTTGTATAAATAAATTAATAAATAAATCTTTAAAAAAAAAAATTTAATTCCTTTTATAACTGAATAATATTACATTGTGGATAAAATGCGGATAAACCACATTTTGTTTAGCCATTCTTTTATTGATAAACATGGTTTATTTCTTCCTTTTGGCTATTGTGAATAATTCTGCTATGACTGATAATGTTGAGTGTCTTTTCAGGTGCTTTTAGTCATTACTAGCTTCTTCGCTTACCATTTCTCTTGAATACTAGTCAATGCTATAAGCAATTAAAAAAAAAAAGGTAACCTACACTGGAAAAAAAGAAGTGAAATTGTTGTTATTTACAGACACGTTATTACCTATGTAGAAAATTTATGACATCTACAACAAAGCTCTGGAACTAATAAGCACCTTTAGTAAGATTGTACTATACAAGATCAGCATATAAAAATTATATTTCTGTATAGTAGCAGTGAACAATTGGAGATGGAAAAGGCAAACAATATCATTTACAATAGCATCTAAATTAAGCACTTAAGGTAAATCTGACAAAAGATGTGAAAGACTTATGTGTTGTAAATTGGGAATTTTCATTTAGAGAAATTTTAAGATATAAATAAATGCATGGATAAACATTATTCTTCAGCTGGAAGACTCAATATTATGTTTAATTTAAATCTTGACTCTACAGATTCAACACAATTCCCTTTAAAATCCTAGTAGATTTTTCTTGGAGGGTTGATGTTTGCAAACTAATTCCAAAATGCTTATTGCAGTGCAAAGGATCTAGAATAGTCAAAGCAGTTTTTGAAGAAGGACAAAGTTAAAGACTAACTACAAGATTTCAAGCTTTATTATAAAGCTACAGTAATCAAAACCATGTGGTACTAATAAATAATGATTCCACAAGCATGATCCATAGAAGAATAGATTAACAAAGTGGTTTTCATCAAAAATAAAAACTTCTGCTTTTCAAAAATTACCATTAGAGAATAAAAAGACATGCCACAAACTGGAGAAACTATTTGTAGAGCAGATAGTCTCTGGAATAAAGAACTTTTAAAACTCAATGATGAGTAAACAAACAACTCAGTCAAAAATGGGCAAAAATTTGAACAGAAACTTCCCTGAAGAAAATACATGAGTGGAAAATAGACACATGAAATAATGCTCAGTATCACTAGTATTGGAAAGATGCAAATTAAACTGCAGTTATATGTTATTATAGAGGTATTAGACTATTTAATGGTGCAACTTTTAGCATGTTGGAGAGAGTGTGGAACAATCAGAACTCTCATACAGTGATGGTAGGAATGTAAAATGGTATATTCTACAAAATGATTTGGCAGTTTTTTAGAACTATATACACCTTCCAGGTAATAAATACAGCTTAACCCAAGAATTTACCCAAAATAAATGAAAACATATGTCCATAAGGTTTGTATATGGGTGTTTATGTGACAGACTTACATGTAACACTGAAACTCAAAATAACCCAGATGTCTGTAAAGGTGAGTGGATAGACATATTGTGGTATTTTCAATCAGTAGACTAATACTGAGTAACAAAAAAGGGTGAACTTACTGATATAAACAACGTGGATGAATCTCAAAATAATTATGATGAGTGAAAGAAGAAAGACTACATAGTGTATGATTTGATTTGTGTCAATTCTAGAAATGAATCTATAGTGGTAGAAAGTAAATCACTCATTGCCTGGGAAAGGAAAGGTAATGAAAGGGGTACCAGGAAATTCTGGGTATTGATGGTTATGTTCACTGTCTTGATGATGGTAATGGTTTCACAGATGTATACATTTGTGAAAACGTACCAAAATGCTATAAATAAGAGCATTTTACTTAAAATTTTTAATAAGATTTATTTATTTATGCATACAAGAACTGGGGTACAGGCTAGAGTTGTGGGGGGGGTAAGAGGATTCACCAGAGACAGAGTGGGAAACAGAACAAGCAGACTGACTGAAATACACTGCTGAGGGGAGTCAGGACTCGCCCAACGGGCAAGTCAGGAGAGGTCTGCTGCGCCATGTGGGCAGCTCCCTGGCCGGGGATCAAACTCGTGCTGCAGTGGCTGTGGAGAGCTTCATAGGTTGCGTCTTAACCCCTTGCGCCACCGGGGAAGCCCCTTACTTAAATGTTTTTTAAAAGCACATAAAACCTATAGAAATATTTAAAACCTCAGAAGCTTTATTTTATTTTACTGAGTTTAAAGATAATAGAAGTCTTGTTTCAGTGTTCATGTTCTTTAGGTTTCTAACATGTAAGACCAAGTCTCTTAATGTGTATTTTATATAATTTTGTCTTTGGTTGTGTTTGTGTTTTTTTATGTTTATGTTTGAAATATTTAATGATTCTTAAAACCACTTATTTTACATGGTGTTTACATAAAGTTTCATACCTATTAGGGATATACTCATAGTTTTATTGTTAAGAAACTGGTTTAAATATGTTACTGGGCCTCCCTGGTGACGCAGCGGTTGAGCGTTGGGTTGCGAAGCTGCCTGCAGCCTCTGCAGCGCCGGTTCAATCCCCAGCCGCCAGGCAAGGGTCCCACATGGCGCGCAGACCTCGCCTGCCACCCGCTGCTCCCCTCAGCAGTGTACTTCGTCAGTCTTCCTGCTCTGCTCTCCCCTCTGGCTCTGGTGAATTCTCTCACCCTCCCGTGCTTCTGACTGTACCCAGTGCTTGAATAAATAAATAAATAAATCTTATATATATATATATAAAAAAAGATTTCTAGAATCAAAAAATAAGTAAATAAATATGTTACTATTTATTTTTGTTTGTGCTAGACCTGACTTATTCATGACATACTCAATTTGTTTGTTGAAATGTCAAACTTAGTTCTGGGAATTCTGTAACTTAAAAGAGAATGATTTTTTAAATAGCCTGAGTATTGTTCATTAAGTGCCTTTTACTCCAAGGAAAGCACCATAGCTCATCTCTGACAGTGTGATTAATCTTTTTTTTTTTTTTTTAAGATTTATTTATACAAGCATTGGGTACAGTCAGAAGCGGGGGAGGGTGACAGAATTTACCAGAGCCAGAGCAGGAAGCAGAGCAGGCAGAAGGACCGAAGTACACTGCTGAGGGGAGCAGCGGGTGGCAGGAGAGGTCTGCGCGCCATGCGGGAACCTCACCCGGCGGCTCGGGATCGAACCTGTGCTGCAGAGGCTGCGGGCAGCTTTGCTGCCCAGCGCTCAACCGCTGCACCACCAGGGAGGCCCCGACAGTGTGATTATTCTTAACATAACCTTAGGCAGATGAAAGCATCAGAGTTGCTGTTCAGATGAGTTGATGCTATAAATGTGTACTGTTATAGAAGGTGAAAACAGAGAAGATGATACCAAAGCAGGCTTTTTCTACAGAATGACAATTCAATTATAAATTCAACTGGAAAGTGGCTAGTTGATCACAGTTAAGTTGCACGTAATTTTAGTGAGTCAAAATAAATCAATGTCTTTTTTTTTTTTTCCTTATTCTAGGAAATAAAATAGCAGCCATGATAGAAGACAAAGGGCCTAGAGTGACAGACTACTTTGTCGTGGCAGGCCTCACTGACACATCTCTTCTTTTGGATCAAGAAATAAATCGCTTAGATACTAAGTCAACTGGACCTAAAGCTCCAATTACAGACATTGCAGTTATTATCAAATCAGCTGGGGAAACAGTACCTGAAGGTTACACCTGTGTCGAAGCCACTCCATCAGCTCTCCAAGCAAACTTGAACTATGGAAGTCTGAAAAGTCCAGAACTTTTCCTTTGTTATAAGAGAGGGAGAGATAAACCACCCCTTACTGACATTGGGTATGGTACTTACTCTTTTTTTTTTTGCTATAGTGAGGGGAATAAAATTTGTGGTACAGGGGAATAGAAACTTGATATTCTTTTTTTTTTAAAAGATTTATTTATGCATACAAGAGTTGGGGTACAGGCCAGAGATGGGAGGGGGTGAGAGGATTCATCAGAGACAAAGCGGGGAGCAGAACAGGCAGACGGACTGAAATACACTGCTGAGGGGAGCAGTGGGCGAGACAGGAGAGGTCTGCTTTGCCATGTGGGTTTCTCTCTGTCTGGCCGGGGAATGAACTCGTGCTGCAGAGGCTGTGGATTGCTTCATAGGGCGGTGCTTAACCCCTTGCGCCACCAGGGAGGCCCGAAACTTGATAGTCTTGATGGTTGTATTACTGTTACCTCAGCACCAGTGATAGTAAGATACTGCATATCACTCTCTACTTTTACTGAACTTCTTGGCATTGTATTTGAATCGTTAGATCATTTTCTTTTAAAAGGATGTTGAAATGAAGGCATTAGTTTGGAAATATGAATCCATTTGTTTTGTACCTTTCAGATAAGCTTATTAATTAAATATAAAAGAACAAGAAACTGTAATAACAGACAGTTGTTTGTAAGGTGCTATTTAAATTATGTAATGATTTTTGGCAAACCCTGAATTTTTTAACAGAGGAGCATTATACAGTTGTGCTGTGTGGTTTTGTTTTGTGATAGGAGAAAAATATTTATAGTTTAAAAGTGTACTTATCATGTATTAATAGTTAATATGAAGTCCACAGCCAATGAAGAGCACTTTTCTTTTTATAAATGCCTTTTTCCAAACATGTCTATGTTCACTTTTTTGTACAGATGTGTTTTTATTTTTATTTTATTTTAAAAGATTTATTTATTTATTTATATAAGCACTGGGTACAGTCAGAAGCGTGGGAGGGTGAGAGAATTCACCAGAGCCAGAGCAGGGAATAGAACAGGCAGACCGAAGAAATACACTGCTGAGGTGAGCAGCGGGCGAGATAGGAGAGGTCTGTCGCTCCATGTGGGATCCTTGCCGGTGGCCAGGGATTGAACTGGTGGTGGAGAGGCTGCGGGCAGCCTCGCAGCCCAGCGCTCAACTGCTGCGCCACCGGGAGGCCCTTATTTTATTTTAAATGTCTAATCTCAATCCCCAGAACCTGTGAGTATGTTACCTTTTTTTTTTTTTTTTAAAGATTTATTTATTTATGCATACAAGAGCTGGGGTACAGGCCAGAGTTGCTGGGGGTGAGAGGATTCACCATAGACAGAGTGGGGAACAGAACAGACAGACTGACAGAAATACACTGATGAGGGGAGCAGCAGGCGGGACAGGAGAGGTCTGCTGCGCCATGTCGGTTGTTCCCTGGTAGGCCGGGGATCGAACTTGCGCTGCAGAGGCTGCGGGTTGCTTCATAGTGCGGTGCTTAACCCCTTGAGCCACCAGGGAGGCCCCCAGGATGTGTTTTTAGAAGACTTGTAATACTTCCCCATGTATAGCTATCAAATACTAAGATAGTTGTTATAATTACCATTACTTCAGAAAAACATATTTTTGGTGTTTGAGAGCATCTCAGGAAGTATATCAGGAGCAGCTTGCCCTTTTATTCAGATAGTGCAATTGGAATTTTGATGAGAATTGCATTTAATTTATAGGTCAATTTGGGAAGTATAGCCATATCAAATTGTCTTCTAACTTAAGAACATTTAAATGTCTTCCCATTTATTTAGGTCTTAATTTCTTTCAGTGGCGTTTTGTGGTTTTTAGTGTACAAGTCTCTCCCCTCCCCCCTGATTAGTTTTATCCTTTTGTATTTTATTGGGTTATTTTGGATTCTATTATAAATGTATTGTTTTCTTAATTTCCTTCTTGGACTGTTCCTTGCTTGGTATATAGAAACACAGCTGAATTTTAACTTTACCTGTTAACCCTATACATCTCAAAATTATGAAACAGATTGAATGGGTAATGTCAAAAGCATTAAGTGACTGAATTATCCTTTAATGGGACTTTTCTTTTGAGGAGGGTGAAAGAAGTTAAAAAAGTGTGAAAAGAAATTATTGGTTGGGCCTCCCCGGTGGTGCAGTGGTTGAGCGCTGGGTTGCGAAGCTGCCTGTAAGCCTCCGCGTTGCCATTTCGATCCCCGGCTGTTTCCCGGCCACCGGAGGCAGGTCCCACATGGCGCGCAGACCTCTCCTGCCGCCCGCTGCTCCCCTCAGCAGTGTACTTCGGTCCTTCTGCCTGCTCTGCTTCCTGCCCTGGTGAATTCTCTCACCCTCCCGCGCCTCTGACTGTACCCAGTGCTTGTATAAATAAATAAATAAATCTTAAAAAAAAAAAAAAAAGAAATTATTGGTTGCAGTAGAGTGAATCAAGACCTATAGTGATTTTACTGTCAGTTCTTTTTTTTCTCTATGGGTTTCTTAAGGTAGGTAATAGCCATAGAAAGATGGGTATAGGATAAAATTTTGGTGGTACCCATGTCACTTGAAGGGAAGCCAGCCAGGTACTTACCTTGTGTTCCAGTCCTTACAGTTCCCTCTGTTGAGACTGTCTTTTCACATCCTTCTCCTAATATCCTCATCATAAATTCATAATTGAAAGTATGTGAAGCTCTTTAAGATTATTTGTGCAAAATATAGTGATGATTTATGTCATACTTAGATGCTTTCAGATTGCAGTTTGCTTTTTCATATAGTCATGTGTCACTTCACAATGTTTTGATCAGTAATGGATTGTATCACATATATGACAATGGTCTCAACAGGCTATACCATATAAGCTTGGTGTGTAGTTGGTTTACTATCTAGGTTTGTGTAACTGCATTCTCTGATATTTTACAACAAAATCACCTAAGGATTTGTTTCTCAGAACATATCCCAGTGATTAAGCAACAAATGATTATATATCTTGCAGTTCGAGACTTCTAATTTCTATAATATTTTGCTGATCCAGGTTTGTTCAAGTATATGTTTGTCATTAAACTAGTCATCATGGTTAATATTTTTCTCCACATCAAATAATAGTCAATATTTGGTGACTTAAATGTTTTACCCTATCCTCTAATTAAGTACACTAGATTTGGAGAGCCTGTAGTCACTGTAAAGACAGTCACCCATCTCATTTAACTTAATATGAAACATCATTGCCAGACTTTTGACCTTTTTATTAATAATAGGTTGTTTTTTTGGGGAAAGGATTTTAAATTGAATATGTGAAATCTGATATTCCCATAGAACTTAATACCAGTACTCTATAAAGTATTGTGTAAATAAGACAGTGTTATTTTTTGTGTTTGTTAAGATAAAGATTTATAGATGACCATCCAAATTTTATTTTCCTTCATTCAGTTTCTGATTTGTCCTTTCACTGTCTGTTTTTACAAAACAAACACATATTTTTGTGTTTCTGTTTCTTCCTCTTAAGCAAAATGTAAATAGTGTATACACTATTTTGTACTTTGCTTTTTTCAGCTAACAATATATCATAGGGAATCATTCCCTATCTAAACGTTGAGATCTTTCTCATCTTTTTTTTTTTTTAAGTATCTGTGTAGTACTTATTTGTATGGATTCACTGTGCTTTGTTCAGTCAAACCTCTATTGATAGACATTTGGGTTATTTTCAGTCTTGTCCTTTTACAACAACACATTGGTAAATTACTTTGTTCCATATATGTTGTTCCATGTATGTGGAGGTATAGTTTTAGGTAGATTCTAGAATGGACTGGGTGGATTGAAAGATGAAGACATGTTTAATTTTGTTAAATGTTACCAAATTTTCTTCCATTATGGTTATGGAATTTTACGCAGCCACCTTCAGTATTTATGAGTTCTTTCCCTTCAGTCTCATCAACAAAGTATGTGATCAGATTTTGAATTTTTGTCAGCCATTTATTCTGTTAATTTATTCTGTTTTAAAAATAGGATTTGGACCTTTTGATTTTTTAAAAAAGACTTTTTATGAACTAGGAAGGTGAACTTTTTGTGAAATAAGCCCAATCCAATGTTTTGTCCAAGTTTGTCTGTCTTTTAACTTGGCTTATGGTGGTTTTTTTCATGTAAGATTTAGCATATGTTGTTTATTTTCTTATTCTTTCCTTTAGTGCCTCTGAATTCTGGGTCTTAGTTGAGCTTTGGCCACTGCTTGGTTTTATTTTAAAGTACTAGTATCGTTTCATTGTTTACTTCTCCTTTCTGGTTTATAGTGTAAATATAGATAGAATTGCATTTTTTTCCCAAATGGAAATTAAGTTATGGAAGCACTGCTTATTAAATTTTAAAAGTTAATTTTTTTCTCAGTGTACTGAGCTATCACCTTTATCATATAGTAGATTTCTTTTGTATTTATTATTATTTCTGCTTACTCATTTATCAGTCTTGTCTTGACTTAAATATAGAGATGTTATACTATATTTTATTTTATTTTTATTATTATTTTTTTTATGATTTTATTTATTTTTATGCAAGAGCTGGGGTACAAGCCAGATGTGCGGGAGGGTGAGAGGATTCACCGGAGACAGAGTGGGGAACAGAACAGGCAGACTGATGAAATATACTGCTGAGGGAAGCAGTGGGTGAGACTGAAGAGATGTGCGGTGCCCTGTGGGATTCTCACCGGCTGGGATCGAACCCGCACCACAGAGACTATGGACAGCTTCACAGCACTGCGTTTAACCCGCTGAGCCACCAGGGAGGCCCTATACTATATTTTCATATAGGTACCCCCTGTGGTTGGAAAGTAGAACATTCTTATTTGGTATGATTTGACAATTACTATTTTGGGCCAGGGGATGCTATTAACATTAATTTTTATAAAAAAATGTTTGAGAGTTTCCCAAGCCTAAGAAAGAACCTATCAAATCATGTCAAATAGGAAGTTCTACTTTCAGATAGCAAGGAAACCTTTATTTGGTTGGGCTTGAGCAGCTTCATTGAGTTACAATTTGCATTTCACACAATTCACCCATCTAGAGTGTGCAGTTCAGTGGTCTTTAATATATTTATGCAGTTACAGTTATCACAATTTTAGAATATTTTCATCATTCTAAAAAGAAACTCCATACCTGTCAGCAGTCAGCCTTCAATAGCCCTTCCCACTTTCTAGCTCTGTGCAACCACTAAGCTACTTTCTTCTATAGATAAACCTGTTACTTTCCATGTAAACAGAATCATGTTGTCTTTTTTATCTGGCTTCTTTCAGTCAACATATTTGTAAGGTTTATCCATGTTGTACCATATATCAAAATTTCATTCATTTTTATTACTGAGCAATATTCTGTTATATGGCTAGTCCACATTCTGTGTATCCATTCATTAGTTGATTGAAATTTGCTTGTTTCCACTTATTTGATATTATGAATAATACTGTTATGAGCATTTGTGGATCATTTTTGGTGTAAATGTATGTTTTTATTTCTCTTGGGTGTATACCTAGGAGTAGAATTGCTGGGTCATATGAAAACTATGTTTAACCCTTTGAGGGACTCTCATACTTTCCCAGTTTTTATTTCCACAAGCAATGTATAAGAATTCCAGTATCTCTTTATCTCCACGCTTGTTATTGTCTTTTTGATTAAGCCATCCCAGTGAATGTGAAAGTGGTGTCTCATTGTGGTTTTAATTTGCAATTCCCTGTTAGTGATATATTAAGCATCTTTTCTTGTGCTTGACCATTTGCATATCTTCTTTGGACAATTATCAATTTAGATTCTTAACTCATTTTAATAAGTGTTTTATTTTAAAACAATTTTAGTTGTTATAAGGATGATACAGAGATTTCCCATATGTCCTTTGTCAGCCCTTTGCCCATTTTTAAATTGTATTAGTTATCTTTTTATATTGCATTATAAGAGTTTTTTACATGTTCTGAAAAGAATTCCCTGATTAGATACATGTTTGCAAATATTTTCTCACACTCTGTGGATTATCTTTTCACTTTCTTGATAGTATAAATTCTAACACAGAAGTATTAAATTTCGAAGTCCAGTCTGTTTCTTCTTTTGTCTTTTATTTTGCTGTCATATCTAAGAAGGTGTTGTGTAACTCAGAGTGACAAAGATTTATTTCTATGTTTTTTCCAAAAGCTTTATAGTATCAGTTCTTACATTTAAGTGTTTGATCCATTTTGAAATTTTTGGTGTGTAGTGTAAGAAGGTGTCCAACCTGTTCTGCATTTAGGTATCTTGTTACCCCAGCACCATTTGTTGAAAGGACTATTCATTTTTTTTGTTTAAGATGGGGGGAGTTACTTTTTTTTTTTTTTTAAGATTTTATGTATTTATTTTTGCATAGAAGAAATGGAGTGCAGGCCAGAGGTGCAGGGAGAAGGGGGGGCGGTGAGAGGATTCACCAGAGATAGAGTGGGGAACAGAACAGGCAGATCTACTGAAATACACTGCTGAGGGGAGCATTGGGGTGAGACAGGAGAGGTCTGCTGTGACATGTGGGTAGCTCCCTGGCCTGGCATTGAACTCTGGCCATTGCTATTGGCCTTCACAATGATAGCACTGAGACTTAACCCGCAGGTCACCAGGGAGGCCCAGAAAAGACTCTTTACCACCACTGAATTGTCTTGATATTCTTGTGGAAATCAATGATCTGTAAATGTAAGGGATTAATTCTGTATTCTCTATTCTATTTCAATGATCTATGTATTTTTCTTTACTTTTTTTTAAAGATTTATTTATTTATGCATACAAGAACTGGGGTGTAAGCCAGAGGTGTGGGGTTGGGGAGGGGTGTTGAGAGGATCCACCAGAGAGTGTGGGAAGCAGAACAGGCAGATCTACTGAAACACACTGCTGAGGGGGAGCAGTGGTTGAGACTGGAGAGGGCTGCTGTACCTTGTGAGCTGCTCCCTTTGTGGCCAGGGATCAAACTCAGGCTGCAGTGTCTGGCACTTTCTTTAACCCCTGCACCACCAGGGAGGCCCCCATCTATATATTTTTCATATGCCAGTATCACATTGTGTTGATGACTGTAGATATATAATACGTTTAAAATAGGAGAAGTATGAGTTTTCCAACTTCCTTCTTGTTTTTCCAGATTGCTTTGATTATAATAGGTACCTTGTACTTACATATGAACTTCAGGATCATGTTGCCTGTTCCTACAAAAAGGGACAGCAGGATTTAGAAAGGAATTTTATTGACGGTAGATCTCCTTGGGGAATATTGACATCAATATTAAGTCTTCTTAACCAAGACCATGACATGTCTTTTATTAGCTCATCTCAAATATCTTTAAACAGTGTTTGGTCATTTTAGTCAAAGGATTTTTAAAGGTAAAATTTTGACATGTGTTATAAAAGAAAATTTTGTGAAAACATCTGAATACTTGATAAAACGTATACGGAGTCATCTAAAGATGTTTGTGTTGTTGCCCCTTACCTATTTTATATATTTCTTCTAAAAAGCAATGAACAGTTATCTGATCCTATTTATACTTCTTAGAGCTATATTCTAACTATTGAAAAATAGTAGTTAAGAGCATTATACTTCCCAAAGTAATAATTTCAATTGGGTTTGTAATTAAAATTTGGGGAACAATAGGGAAGACCAAAAATTTTTATTTTGTTTCAAGAAAACCAGCGTTAACCTGAAATGTATTTACCTATCTTTGTATTTGTTCCCTCCTTGCAATGCAGAGTTTTATATGAAGGGAAAGAGAGGCTTATTCCAGGATGTGAGGTGATCCAAGCCACACCCTATGGTCGCTGTGCCAATGTCAACAATAGTTCAACCACTTCACAAAGAATCTTTATCACTTACCGAAGGGCTCCTTTAATTCGACCCCAGAATTCCCTGGCTGTAACTGATATCTGTGTTATTGTAACCAGTAAAGGAGAAACCCCTCCTCATACTTTCTGCAAAGTTGACAAAAACTTAAATTGTGGAATGGTAAGTTTAAAGTTGTTTCATCTTCAAAGTTTCATTGAAACCAAAAAAAAAAAAAAAAAAAAAAGGGCTAATTTTGGACTCCTATTTATTACCTATTTATTATTATTTATTATTACCTATTTATTATCTACTCCTATTTATACTTGTATGAGTCTATGTTTTATTATTGTAGCTCTCTAATTTTTATGATTTATAATAATATTTAAAATCCTTAGCTAGCTAATAATTTGGAATAATTTCATCTAGAAAATTGATACTTGAAGTCAGAGGGTTTTTTTCCTTGGGGGGGGGTGTATGTGCCAATATTGCCTGTTACACTCTATTTTTTTTTTAAAGATTTATTTATTTATACAAGAAGCAGGGTACAGGCCAGATGTGTGGGAGGGTGAGAGGACCCACCAGAGACAGAGTGGGGAACAGAACAGGCAGACTGATGAAATACACTGCTGAGGGGAGCAGTGGGTGAGACAGAACAGGTCTGCCGCACCATGTGGGACCCTCGCCGGCTGGCCAGGATTGAACCGGTGCTGCAGAGGCTGCAGACAGCTTCACAAGCACGGTGTTCAACCGCCTGCACCACCAGGGGAGGCCCTATGTTACACTATTATAGAGGTTTTATTAACTTCTGAATTTCAGTGATGTCTTTAAGGATGCCTGCAGGGAGACTGGGTGTGTGAACTCCCCTTACATTTATCTGTTTAAAATACTGTAGTTTTACATATTTATTTTTTAAGGGACTCTAATGAAAAAGGAAACTGAAGATAAATAGTAGATTTATGGTTTCCTGAGAGTTAAGTTTACTACTGGATCAGGTTTATTTTGAGAAATACCTTTATATCAAACTAAGCTTAAATGTGGTATAGGCAAAGATGACTAATAAGCCTGGGGCTGTTGGTCACGGTAGGTTTGCCTGTGGAGAGGATGACTTCAAAGCACCACAGTGATTCTAGTCTCCCTTAGCTTGAGTGCTAGTGCCCACTCTACTTTGTGCCTTTTCTTTCAAAGAGAGGTGATCCCTGGTTGACTGTAGAATTTGAAACTTTTTGAAACTAACTTTATGTCAGTTTAATTTTTGTGAAAGTATTTTTAAAACTTTTTCTTTTATTGATCTCAACTTTATATTTGGCTATATTTTGTACTATACAGTCTAATATTTTTAAATAGACTCCTGTGAAAAAATTTCTTTAGAATACATTTAAAAATCAACTTTTTTTACTACTTTTTAAAAAAACTTAATTTGTGTTTTACAGTGGGGTTCCAGTGTGTTTCTGTGTTATAAGAAGTCTGTGCCTGCTTCTAATGCAATAGCATATAAAGCTGGTAAGTTAATTAAAAAAAAAAAATCTGTCTCTATTACTATAGTTACTGGTATATATTAACATTTGCTTAGGAGAGATAATGTATGCTTCCATATGTAGTTTGTGGAACTGGTCTATTCATAGATTGAATTGTCTATAAGTTTGAATTTTAAGGGCAGCATAAGTTTTTTTAAATACATTACTTACAAGGTGTATTAATATTACTGCTCACCCACATGCAAACATGTTATTCATTAAATGTAAGCTTTCATCCCAAGCAAGCATATGTAGAATAAACATTCAAGCTTATAGTCTACACTAATATAACAATTCAGTGGAAAACTGCTTGCTCTCTGACCTTTTATATTTTGGCAATCAAAAAGGTGTCAAACTGCATCTTTACTTCTTATATTTCCTTCTCTTATTTCTGTGTGTCTGATTTGAAACCACATGTTACTTGCCATGGACTTGCTTCCTTTCTCCCTTGTTGCAAAGAATCAGCTATGTGGAGGAGAGGAGGGCCTGAGAAACTTTTCTGCCATGAAGTGTTTGAGAAATCTATCGCCACATTCTTACTGCACAGTAAAGTGTCAAGGGCTGTAAAGATTTAACCTCTTCATCCCACTGGTATGGTGGGATAAAAACTGAAATCCAGGTATGCTCCAGTTGTAAATAGAAGAAATACTGGAATACTTCTTTGTGAAAAGAAATAGTGTCAATTACTTTTTGATCATGCAGTTTTTGGAATATAAAGTTTTACTTCAGAAAAGTCAGGCAAATTCATATCTGAAAAATCTTATTCTCATTAATGCATTCATACTAATGAATCAAATCATTTAATTTATAGTATAAAAATAAAGGTAACAACTAACAATTATAAATTTCAGTGTCATATTAAAATGTGATACTCTTAATATTGCCTTGTACAGTATTGTCATGTATTGATTCTATGTAATATAAATTTTTTGTGGGAAGAAAGTACTACTTATAAAAAAACTTACATGAACAAGTTCTGTGAAAATATTCAGGTATTTGATATGAGACATGTATTATAAAGTACAAAAATTTTGGAGATGAATTTGGACTCAAAAATTTCTCCTGCTTATTTTCAATCATTTAACTTAGAGGTGGTCTATATATTAGAAACATCAGAGATTAATGAACTGATGCTGTGTGCTGGCTACTTTATTCTAAGGGGCTTCGTGTGCTCTTCAAAGCGCTCTTGCTCCTATTTTCTCGGTCTAACATACCCTCGACTAGTCACAGGGCTTTCTGTCTTGTTACTTTTCATGCCTTTTACACTGCTTCTCTCAAGATGAGTTTAGGGGCTGTGACAATTTCTCTTGCCTTGGCATTATTACATAATATTTATCCCTTCCCTGAATATTTTGCAAACTAGTTGAAATAGTTGGTAAATTTTCTTTCTATTTCAATATAAAGATGTTGGTTGTATGTAGAAGATAATATATTAAGATTGGTGATCCTGTTGAATAATTACAATTTACATTTACTTAGTATATTTTTTAATGTTAGAATGAACTGTAAATCTATGGGTGAAAAACAAAGGGTAAATTTATTTTAATTTCTGATGTGACAAGAGAAAAATTGATTTTGAAGTTTTATACATAAATATTTTCCATGAAATTTACTATTAAAATATATTATTAGTATGTATCAATGTAACTCATAAACAAATAACTATTTTCAAAAAATTTTTGTCTCCTTTCTCCAAAGGTTTAATTTTTCGATATCCAGAAGATGATTATGAGTCATTTCCGCTCTCAGAATCTGTACCTCTTTTCTGCCTTCCTATGGGAGCGACTATTGAATGTTGGGATTCCCAAACCAAATATCCGCTTCCAGTTTTTTCAACTTTTGTCTTGACAGGTTCCTCTGCTGAAAAGGTATATGTTTGTCTCTTTGTTAAGCCTATTTTGTTTGTTTTCCCCCCATAAAATAATGTCATATAAATGTATTTGACATTGTATCTTTGGTTAAAATGTATACTACAATTGAGGTAATGCATCAACATGAACATGGTATCGGGATGCTGATGCTCCTGGAACTGCTACAGAAGCAAATCTCTCTCTGGAGAGATAACCCCCAAAACCAGGCCTCAAAATGAGAGTATAGTAAAAGTTAGAAGATAGAGGTACATAGGAAGAATGAGAAAGCCACAATGATTAGCTGGGTTGGGATATTAAAATGGTAGAATGACAATATGAAACATTTTAAATTGGATATATAATTGAAATGATTAAAGACCTAGTAGACTTAAAACATTAATTAAAAAAAGGATATTTTGAAAAATGAATAGATTAGAAAAAGCTTCAGTTGTCTAGAAATGAAAAATGTGGTTCTTAAAATTAAAAATTCATTAATGCTTTAAATAGCAGAGAATGTATACATGAAGGGAGGAAAAATGAAGTGGGAGATAGATTACCCCAAACGTGGCACAGAAAAACACAAATCCTAAAAGGAATTTAAAAATGTAGAGGGCAGAATCATAAGGCCCAATAGATATTTAATGAATTCTAGAAGGAGAAACTAGAAAAAGGAGGGGAAATATTTTCAGAGCTAGTGGATGGTTCAGAGTTTTCCAGGGATGATGATAATTTGAGTGTTCAGATTAAAAATGCATACTGGGGCCTCCCCGGTGGCGCAGCGGTTGAGCGCTGGGTTGCGAAGCTGCCTGTAGCCTCTGCAGCGCCCGTTCGATCCCCGGCTGCTCCCCGGCCACTGGAGGAGGGTCCCCCACAACGCGCAGACCTCTCCTGCCGCCCGCTGCTCCACTCAGCAGTGTACTTCAGTCCTTCTGCCTGTTCTGCTCCCCGCTCTGGCTCTGGTGAATTCTCTCACCCTCCCGCGCTTCTGACTGTACCCAGTGCTTGTATAAATAAATAAATAAATCTTTAAAAAAAAATGCATACTGAATCTTAATCAGAAAAAAAAAAAAACCACCTAAAAATCCAGCACTACCTCTTACATAGAAATGGAAATTGATGTGGAAATCTGATATGGCAAGTTCTCCCAGGCCATTGCCCGGAGAAATAATGCAATGTAAATATTCAACAAAGGTCTTTAAGCAGAACCTATGAATAGCTTCTCCATTATCAGCAAGAAAAAGAAACAAGTCTGTCCTTGTTTCTTGAGCATATCCCAAAAGAAATGAGTGTGTATATCCTATAAAAGACATGTATAGACTTTATTTGTAAGTCAAGAATGGAAAATATGTATAAAACAATAATAGTGACATAGAATGACAATTTTAAAGAGATGGCGAAAATAAACGTTAAAAAATGAAAAGAATAAAACTACAGGTACAATAGAGATTTAAAAAATTGAACAGTTTCTTAGGAAAATTTACAAAATAGGAATTTTTTTTTTAAAGATTTATTTATTGGGCCTCCCTAGTGGTGCAGCAGTTGAGCGCTGGGCTGTGAAGCTGCCCGCAGCCTCTGCAGCACTGGTTTGATCCCTGGCCGCCACGAGGGTCCCACATGGCACACAGACCTCTCCTGCCGTGACTGCTGCTCCCCTCAGCAGTGTACTTCGTCACTCTGTTCTGCTCCCAGCTCTGCTCTGGTGAATTCTCTCACCCTCCCGTGCTTCTGACGGAATGAATGAATGAATGAATGAATAAATAAATCTTAAAAAAAAAAGAGATTTATTTATGCATACAAGAGCCGGGGTACAGGCCAGAAATACGGCGGGTGAGAGAATTCACCAGAGACAGAGTGGGGAACAGAACAGGCAGACTGACTGAAATATACTGCTGAGGGGAGCAGCGGGCGAGACAGGAGAGGTCTGCTGTGCCATATGGGTCACCTCCCTGGCCCGCCAGGGATCGAACTCATGCTGCAGAGGCTGTGAATTGCTTCATAGTGCGGTGATTAACCCATTACACCACCAGGGAGGCCCCAAAATTGGAAATTTTAATGAGAAGTATAAGTAACCAAAACTGACACTTGTGGATCAAACAATATATCTGTGGCCTCATTCTACAGGCTATAAGTTTACCATCACTATTAAAGATAGTGAAGATATTTCTACATTTTGGGTATTATGAATAATGTGGCTATGAACATTGATGTATAGGTATCTGTTTGAGTTCATGCTCCAGTCTGCTTTCCCCCACCCCCTCAAGTGTAGTCCCCATAGAATTTCCTTCACCAGTGCATCCATGCACCATCACTTAAGTCCCCTATGCTCCTCTCTCCCTCCCTCTGATCCCTCTCCTGCCTCCTTCCCTGCAGGATGTCTCTGATTTATAATAGTCTGTTTTTGCTTTGTTGTGTTTTGTACTGTTATTATTTTTTTTCACTGATGTCTTATTTGGTTCCCCTATATTCCTGCTATAAGTGAAACCATCTGATATTTTTCTTTTTCCTTCTGGCTTATTTCACTGAGTATAATTCCTTCTTGTTCCATCCACGTTGCTGTGAATGGCATGAGTTTATCTTTTTTGATTGCTGAATAATATTCCAATGTGTGTATATACCACATCTTCTTGATCCAGTCATCTATTATGGAAAGCTGTCTGGAGGTTTCTCAGTCTACTAAAAATGGAGCTACCATATGACCCAGCAATTCCACTACTAGGGAACTACCCAAAGGACACAAAAACATTGCTTCAAAAGACCACCTGTACCCGTATGTTTATTGCAGCACTATTTACAATAGGCAAAACCTGGAAACAACCCAAATGCCCCAAAATAGATGACTGGTAATTCTTTGTTTAAATTTTGGAGAAGTTGCCAAGCTGTTTTCTCCAGTAGCTACATATGTAACATGATGTAGGAATGTTTGAGATTTGAATTTTCATTTAACTTTCAGATGCATTCTGAGCAAATATTTCTTGCTGAATAAGAGTAAAAGAAATTAGTTTTTAAAAGCAAATCTTATAATGAAATTCTGTTACTCTGTAGGTATATGGAGCTGCCATTCAATTTTATGAACCTTATTCTCGGGAACTTCTAACAGAGAAACAACTTATGCAACTGGGCCTAGTGACACCTGTGGAGAGAAAAGTGATCTCCAAATCCATCAATTCAAACAAATGCATTTGTTTACTCTCACATTGGCCTTTTTTTGAAGCTTTTAGAAAATTTCTCATGTTTATCTACAAACTTTCTGTGTCTGGACCACATCCTCTTCCTATTGAAAAGTATGTATAAATGACTAGAGAGATGTTTAATGGATATAAACTGATTTTAAGTAGCACAGTTGGAAAGGGAAGGAGAGTCAGAGATACCCTGCTTTTTAATTGTCCCCTTCTTCACCTGAATCATTGACTCTGAATTTAAAGTTGAGGAATGGTGGTGAGGATGACTAAATAATAAACTTTTGCGGATTCAGATGAGGAAGAAATATATACCCATTGTTTGTGTGTGTTCTTCCTATCCATTTTCTAATAACCAAGAGAAAAATGACTATTAATACACATACACGCCAGCCATACAAATGGTCATTCCAACTCCTTACTATAAACTATTTTCAGACTGATGTATAAGTTAGTAAAAGTGGGTTAATTAATGATAAAGTGAGGTTTTGGTTTTAGCATTGACAAAATTCTACATAGTTTTCCTTTGATTTGTAGTTCCCTTTGCCTTGTAAATTTTATAAATAAGGAAAATATATGTGGAACCTCTCTGCTTTTAAAAATTACATTTTTCTGATTTTTAAGGTCCCATTGACTTCTGTTTATTATAGTAAATTATGTACTTGAACAAAACAAGAGGTGTCAGGGGTTTTGTGGGAAGATATACAATGTGTAAACACAGGTTTTTCTTTCCATTTAGAAAATTTCACATTATAGCAAAAAGATTATCAATGAAAGAGATTAGTGGATAAGTGGGGGGTAATTATCTATAGGTATTAAAATAATCGTGCTCAAAATTCAGCTTCAAAAAATAGTAGAGTTCTGTGTATAAACTTAACACAATTTGGTATAGAAATGTGATTCAACTTTCGAATGCCAGTCTAATGGTTCATGTTCTAATTTAACTTTTAGCTGTCAGATTAACTTAAAATTGTTTGAAGTAAATTTTAATGTTAATGACAAGTTAATAACCTTTCAAAAAATTAAAGTTCTGTGGATAGTTTATGAAAATGAAATCAGCATATGTGATTGATTTTTTTTTCTTTCTCTTGAAATAATATCTTGCATTTAGTGATTCCTAAGAGTTCAAAACTTTGGAGACTCTTCAACATTATTTGTGGTTGAGAAATAGGCTAAGTGATTTGCCCAAAGTTACAGTAAAATAATTAGATTAATATTTAACATTAAATTTATTGTTAGGATCAGATTCTATATTAGTGTTAGTTCATTATATCACAATTAAGTGTCCTGGCATTGATAAACCAAGACAATAAAACTTAGCCTCTTTTATGAAAACCATAATCATGTTACTCTTATTTTCTTGGTGCTTATAGGGTATATTACTGTGTGTTTTTAGTGCAGAGATAGATTTTGCATTTCAGAAGTTTAGTGAGATGAGTATATTTATTTACACTAAGTAAATTCATTTAGCATAGCTTTAGGTAAGTGATTTTGTTATATCTGGGATGATATGTAATAATTTGTTAAAATGTATGAAGCATTTTAGAAAAGTAATTATGATCTTCATTCAACTTTTTTTCCAGACACATTTCACATTTTATGCAAAACATCCCTTTTCCTTCACCACAAAGACCAAGAATACTTGTTCAGGTAATAAAAAAAATGGTATATTTGAGGTGATTTCTGTATATATTTATTCCAGTTATTGCAGCGGATTCTCTGGTCCTTTGTGTTTAAGGTGAAGCAGTATGCATTCATAAAGTTCTTGAATTTCCTGTACTATATACCTTCAGTTAACATCCTTTTATACTGGTTTTTTGAATTTTGAGTATATAGGATTAGAATAATTTAATCTTTTGTTTATTGTATTATTGTTATTGATCCCTGCTTGGCCTTTCATGTACCTTATTTAACAATATAAAGCCTAGAATTATGTTATGGGCATGATTTTAATTCAAAGCAACTAATCAATATTAAGTAGAAGATGAGCTGTAATAGGAGGGGGCAGTAAAATAATCTATAAACGTGCTCTTCAGACTGTTAAAAGAACAGTTTCTTTTTATTTCTAACCAGTAGCAGACCTATATGAGCTTTATAGCTTGTAACATATGCAGCTTGCAATGTGAGATCAGCAGACATGAATAGATCAATACTCTGTCTAAAGATCTGACTGTACTGATTGTGTGGAATTAGTGTCAGATTGCCATCAGTTGCTAAATGACTTGTTTTCATTTATGTATTATCTCTTCATGGACCAGTAATAGTTTGTAGTCCGCAATTGATCTATAGAGGCAAGCTATTTTAAATTTGTTTCTAAGATATTATCAACATAATAAATGATAATAAATGGTAACATTAAGTAAGATGATATTAATCTTGAGAGTTCTTCAGTGCAGCAAGTATAATATACAGTAAACAGCTGCCAAGTACTTCTTGGTCTATAGAGTAGAGTTGAATCTTTAAAAAAGTTTTCCATAATTCTTAAATAACTTTTAACCAGCTAACTGAATCACTCTATATATTAAACTCTTTTCTGTTTTACTCTTAACCTAAATGTTTAGATGTCAAAATTGGTTAACTTATCCTTTTTGTTCCTTTCTTTTTTAGCTATCAGTCCATGATGCCTTAATATTATCACAGCCAGTTTCTACACCTTTACCACTAAGGTAATTGATGGTATCTAAAATGATGTATTTATTCGTTTGGAGCAGATGCTTTAAAACACTTTAAGGGTTAGGATAATAAAGTTAAGTGTTATTTTTACAATCAAGATAAGAGTAATCTTAATGTTTTTAATTTTGATAGTTGGATGTATGGAGGGACCATTTAAAAAATAAAGCACTTTAAAAAAGACACGCCATTTTGATACCAAAGGATGGGTTTGAATCTTCACTGTCTCATAAAATTTGCTACTTTTTAGTGATAATCAGGACCGAAATTAACACTAAGTTCTCAATCTATTAATATTTAAGAAATAATTTATAAGCAAATCTTGGCATATTTTAGCAAAATAGTTCATAATCACTTTTTTCCCTTCTGTATTTCTAGTGGAGCCAATTTTAGCACCTTATTGATGAACCTGGGTCCTGAGAACTGTGCAACACTGCTGCTCTTTCTTTTACTTGAGAATAAGATTCTACTGCATTCTCTTAGGCCAGCTGTGTTGACTGGAGTAGCCGAAGCTGTTGTAGCTGTAAGTGTAAAATTTTCCTTTTGGTACAAAATTATTGGCAGAATCTTACTCTAAAGGGTAATTCTCTTCAAGGGAAGCAGCTTTGAAATTACCTGTAAAAGTTTAGCATTAATGTTATGGAGTGGCAAAAAGAAATAGCAGGCATAAGTAAAAATCAATAGTGACTTCTCTTTAACAGAAAATGTGTCTCATTTTTCATATTTAGAGTTTTTCAGAAAATCTGTGTGATTACATTATAATAAAATGTCACTGAAGCTTATTGTATTAAGTGAAAGACCCTGGGCAGTTTTAACTGCCCTAAAATTGTACAATTTATTAATTTCCCCTATTTTAACTTCTAACCATTTTAAACCTATAACATATAGGAAATTCTAATTCATTATTAAATAGGATAATGTACAAAAGTTTAGCTATTGATTAAAATATAAAAGTTAAATTAAGTCCTTCCCTGTTTAAACATTTTAGATTGCTTCCTGTTGTAATTAGAAAGAGGTCTGATCATACAAGGCCTTTTTAGGTAATAGTGCCCAAATTTGGGTGTTTGATTTTTCTAACCCTCTCTTACATTATTTGTTTAATTTAAAACAGCTGACTCTTCTACCTTTCCATTCTCATTTTGAAAGCATAACTCTCACAGAAGTAAGGACTTAGTTTCTTTTCTACCTTTATGTCCTCAGCACTCATCAAAGTTGAATAGCATAGAGGAAACACTCAATAAATACATGTCAAAGCAACAAAAGGAATATATTTCCCTAATCTTAACTTGATAAGAAATATTGCTATGACGGAAAAACAGTAATAATAATTTGAGTTGGTTTATGGGGTGTGAGTGGGGGAAAAAATTCTCTATGTAATTTTTCAAGCCTCTACAGTTACATGTAAAAGCAAAAGTTGTTATACTATGAACATATTTTGTTAATGAATTGACTAGTTTTAGCAAGTCTCACTCAAATATTCCTTTCTATAAAATATTAGCATTTATTATGTACCTTTGTGAGAATCTTTGTGGCCCAGTTTCTTGGTTTCAGCAGTACAATGCAAGCACCAATGGGAAGATTGACATTGGAAATCTTAGGAAAAATGTATGGTTGTATGAAGTTTATGTAACTGATGTTAGAGAACTGCCTGAATTGTATGCAAAAAGATTATAAATGAAGATTTGACAAGCAATTTACCATTAATAAAGAAGGAGAAAATTAAGAATGGGGACAGGCTAAATTCTTCAAAAACAGATTGATTTGAATATCAAAGAATCAATGGGGCTGCATAACAAAATTGATGAAACCAGTGAGTATTTTTGTAAAGCAGTCCTATTCATGATTTCACTGCAGAAGTCAGAGGGGAAGATGGAGTTGTCATATTTTGCTGTAAGATAGTTTTGTTTTACAATTATCACATAGTAGGTGTAACATACATTTTATTGAATGGAAGATAGTTTTTATTGAACGAAATACGAAATATTTGTTAGGTCCCGTCCCTCTGCTCTCCGGTCTGATTTTCTGCTACTCTTCCTCTTGCTCACTGCTCCAGCCATGCAAACCCTGGAGCATATTAGATACACCCCATACCTTAATGCCTTTGCATTAGCTGTTCTTCTGAAGCACTCTTTTAGTCTATACCCTGACTAAATCCCTTATCTCCTCCAGGTTTCAGCTCAGGGGTACTCTTTTAAGAAGGCCTACCCTGTTTGATCTATTTAATAACACACATTTGTTTTCCTTCTCCCCTGTTCTGAGCTCTAATCCCCTTCACTTGGTTTACTCATTTTTTTTTTTTTTCATAGCACTTAGTACTTCTTCACATAGTATATATTTTATTTATTATGTCTTTTGTTCCCTTTTTTTCTCTTTCTGCTAGACCAGGTTGTGGCAAAGTATGGCCTGTGACTCATATCCTGTTTTTAACCTGTTTTTGTAAATAAAGTTTTGCTAGAATGTGGGCTGTTTATTCACGCATCACTTATGACTTTTCATGCATGACAACAACACTAAATGTTTGTGACAAACAATATGGCTAGCAAGGCATAACACATTTCCTGTCTTTCACAGAGAAAGTTTGCTGACTTAGGATAGACTGTAAACATTATGAGGTCAGGGATTTTTGCTTTCTTCACTCTTATGACCCCATCATCTGAAACAGTGTTTTGCACATTTTGAGTGCTCAGATATTTGCTAAGTAAATGATTGAAGAAAAAAATTGCAGTTATGAATAGCTACAGTGCATTAAGTGCTATCGGTTTTTCTTTGGGGTGAGTGATGATGGATAAGGAGAGAATTGAAGTAGTCCTTGAAAAGGTAACTATTTTTATAGTTTTGTAAAACTTTATCATCAGTGACTAAATTTTTTATCAAAACTTTGTTTTTAAAAAACACATACACAGTTTCAGTAGAAACTGTAAAGGAGAGCTGGTTAAAAAGATTCTTAGTCTATGTTTTATATTAACTAGTGGTTTTTAAGATGCCAAGCTTCACTGAAGCTGAATCATTTTCTGTTTGCGTAGTTAGGAAATTTTTTTGTTGAAATTTTCAATTTACTATTACCATCCCCCAAGGAAATCATTTTTTTTTTTTTCAGTCCATGGTACTCTTAGTTGGTTTTAGTCAAAGGTTATTTCAAAAATTAATAGACGGGTGATAAATGCATAAGAGTTAAAGATCATGAGTTTGTTTTTTAATTTTTTGAGCAGTTGTTCTCTCTTTGACTTTTTCTATAAAAGGGAATATGGGTTTTGTATAAGTAGAAGAGTTAACAAGCATTTTTATTGTACATGTGGTCATTTTAATGCTTTTTAAGATTGTAATCTTAAAATGCTCTGGTTGATGGTATTGCTTAGTAATATTTTATAGTCATTTAGTTTTTGAAATAAAGTTTAAGGTAAGAGAAACTAGACTTAGCTGCTTTCTTTTAAAAATGGTACCTTTAATTAGTTCATTACATAATTTTCATTGCAAATTTTAAATTTGGTTAATTTTTTAAAACTTTTTTCTAGATGATCTTTCCATTTCAATGGCAGTGCCCGTATATTCCCCTTTGTCCTCTTTCACTGGCAGCAGTGCTTAGTGCACCTGTACCGTTTATAGTTGGAGTTGACTCAAGGTATTTTGATCTTCATGATCCACCACAAGATGTTGTTTGCATTGACTTGGATACAAACATGTTATATATGTAAGTTGATTCTTTTTATGTTATCTGCTGTTTATTTTTGCCCTGTATGTAGTTATACTTTATTGAAAGCCTCTAGCAGTCAATATACTAATTTTTAAAGTTCTTACTAAGTCTTTTTCTTTAATATTGTAAAATGATTCAAAACCAGAGCAGGTATCAGAATCTTGTAAAGCTGTAGGTTTGGAAAAGAACATATTCAATATTATAATAGTTTATGTTTAGATAACTCAATGCTAGACAGCAGATATTTTATCATAATAGAATATAGATTTGAAAATAAAAAGGTAAAATGCTGCTTTCAAAGCTCAGGAGATAGGTATTCTAGGTTTAACTCAAAATGTTAATGTAGGGCCTCCCCGGTGGCGCAGTGGTTGAGCACTGGGTTGCGAAGCTGCCCTCAGCCTCTGCAGCGCCGGTTCGATCCCCGGCTGCTCCCCGGCCACTGGGTGAGGGTCCCACATGGCGCGCAGACCTCTCCTGCCGCCCGCTGCTCCCCTCAGCAGTGTACTTCGGTCCTTCTGCCTGCTCTGCTCCCTGCTTTGCCTCTGGTGAATTCTCTCACCTTCCCGCACTTCTGACTGTACCCAGTGCTTGTATAAATAAATAAATAAGTAAATCTTTTTAAAAAAAAAGTTAATGTAAATTTTATAAAAATAAGTTTACCTCTTTGAGTTTAGTCACAACATAGGGTAATAAAACAGTTGGAGTCAGTAAACTCCGTGAGCGTTTTAGGCTTAAGGAGAAGGAGAGAAAGGGACAAGGAAAAATATATGAAAAAAAAAGAAATAAAATTTAAAAAATTCAAAGGAAAAAGAAAATTGGGAGAATATGAATATTTGCCTGTGCCATGTGTGTTAGCTCCCTGGCCAGGGATCAAACTCATGTCGCAGTGGCTGGTGATAGCTTGATAGTGCTGTATCTTTAACCCCTTGCACCACGAGGGAGGTCCCCCTATATATATTTTTGATTTCTTAATTCTCTGACTAGAATCCTGGTACAATGTTGGATAGAACAGTCATCACTGGTAACTTACTTTGTTTTTAATTTAAAAGGGAATTCTTTGAGTAGTAATCATTAAGTATGATTATTGCTTTAAGGCAGGAGTTAACATTTGGTCCAAGGCTTGTTTTTGTAAATAAAATTTTATTAGAACATAGCAACGCATATTTTTTAATATGACCCAAGGCTGCTTTCATGCAAGCAATAGCACATGTGAAGAGGTACAGCAGAAGCCCTGTGGTCTCAAAGCATAATATATTTACTGTCTGACCCTTTCTAGAAAATTTGCTAACCCCATTTTAGGGTTAAGGAACTTTAATGACTTTAATAATAGATTAAGGAACTTTTTTCCTACTTCTAGATTAAGATTTTTTTCCTAATCATAAACAGGTATTGAATTTTCTAATACTTTTGTACAACTTTAAGAATAACATTATTTTTCTCCTTTAATCTGTTTGGCAAATTATATTATAAAATTAATTAGTAGTCAACAATCATTGCACTCCTGAAATAAACATCATCTTGCTCTTACTTTTTTATGTCCCAGTGAATTAAATTTTTTAAGAAGTTAAGAAGTTAGGAAGTTTGTGTTATTGGGCTGATATATATAGCACTAGCTACAAACCATAGTTTGTAGTACTTTTTTCATTTGTAGTTTTTAATATTTTTTATTTCTATTAAAATGTTTTATCTGACCCATGTATTATTTGAAAGTGTTCTTTTGAACTTCCAAAGTTTTTTTTGTCTTTTTAAGTATTAACTCAGCTGATTTGTAATAACAACTTGCTCTGTGTATTATTGACTCTGATACTTACTGAGATTTGTTTCAGAATCAAGTATTTGGTCATATTTGTTTCAGAGCCAAGTATTTGTAAATATTCTCTTTGTGAAAAGAATGCAGTCTTAATAATTTGAAAATAGAGAATCAGTAAAATAAACTTGTAAATAATATTCAAGAATTTTATTCTTGCTAAGTTAATGTCTGCTTGCTCTTTTAGTTTTAATGACTAATTATGTTAATAAAAATTTGATAGCCCCACTTTAGCAAGATGTGGGGATGAAGATACTATTCAATCCATTGTGTTTAGTTTATCTTAAGATTATTTTAAGATTAATCTATATTAAGTTTATCTTAAGATTAATCTATATTAATCAGTTGTTTCTGATCTTGAATGTATTTTTATTAAGAATTCAAGGTATCCTATCATCATTTCCAAAAACCACCATATTTAACATAAGGTGCAACTGTATAGTTAAAGGAGATAAATTGAATCCATACTTCATATCACATTCAGGAAAAAAACAAATTGATTAAAAACTTAATACAGGGCCTCCCCAGTGGCCCAGAGGGTTGAGCACTGTGCTGCGAAGATGTCCGCAGCCTCTGCAGCGTGGTTTCGATTCCTGGCTGGCCAGAGAGAGTACCACGTGGTGCAGCAGACCTCTCCTGTCTTACCCGCTGCTCCGCTCAGCAATGTACTTTGGTCCTTCTGCCTGTTCTGTTACCTGCTCTGGCTCTGGTGAATTCTCTCACCCTCCTGCACTTCTGGCCTGTTACCCAGTGTTTGTATAAATAAATAAATCTTTAAAAAAAAAACTATGCGTAATGAAACAAATTAATAAAATGAAACCAAGATAATTTCTTTATAGCCCTGGATTAAGGAAGGATTCTAAATGCAGAAACCATAAAAATTAATAAACTTGACTACATAAACATCAAAAATTTATAGATAACAAAACAGTATTACCAAGTTCAAAAGAAAAATACCAAATTGGGGGAAAAAATTTGCAGCTGTTCTCACAAAGGGTCAATCTTTCATTAATGAAAGAACCCCTAGAAATTTACAAAAGGGTAGGGTAGGCAATTATAAAGAATCTTATTGCAAAGAAGTAAATAGAAATGATTTGCAAAAATTTGAAAGCATTTTCATTTATCTCAAGAATATAATTCTACATAACCTCAGAGTAGAGCTAAGTGGTTTTATGCCAAAATGTGTTGCTTTCTTTAGATTTTTAAATTCAAGGATGTACTTGACTTTAGAGGTTCATAATTGGATAATAGGTTTACATGTGAACTGTATGAATGAATTCTTTTTAACCAGTTTTAGATCTGAATTAGCTTAATGTGCTTATAATCTTTACCTAAATCCCAGTCCCTTTATTTGGGCACGCAATATTTAGGAGGATTTCTCGTAGACAATTTGCAGTCTAAAGTCAATTGGGTTTTACGCTTACAATATTATAATTTGTAATATTATAATTACATAACTATTGAAGTAAAACATCAGTATTGTATCAAAACTCCAAAACTGAAAATCCATGTTCAAGGGTTAGAATGGGAGAACCAAATTTGAGGTAGATTGAAATGAGACTTTCTTTGAAAAGCACTTATTCAGGCTGCCCACAACAATTGTAACTTCAGTAAAAACACCCTCCCCATTCTGTTTTTTAGTTTCACATAAGAATTTTAAGTAAAAACAAATTCTATTTTATTATGTTTTTCTTTAATAGGGCAGATGAAAAGAAGAGCATGAACTGGAAGCAGCTTCCCAAAAAGCCATGTAAAAATCTACTTAGCACCTTGAAGAAATTGTATCCCCAGTTATCTTCAGGTAAATGCCAGGAAAAAGTATGAATTTTAAAGAGAGAGAATATATGTAAGAAAATTCTTTTTAAATTTAAACATCATTTTGCTTTGCTTAAAAGGAGTCTGATTACATCACAAAATTTCAATAATAAAAAATTTAACATTTGTTTCATAATTTTTTGAACATACTCTTCACTTTGATTGCTTGATTGAGCATGTCCTCTGTGCCCCAGCTCCCTGTTAACTCCTGCCAATGATTATTTTAATTATCAGAGAGAAGAATTTCAGGAAGTAACAAAATAAAACAAGAAGCTTTATTTTGACAATGTTCTTAATCATACCTTAATTTCATGTATGCATGAAATATATTTATGTGCTCTATATATTAATGTCATTTTCTCTTCTGTGTTAGTTCACCGAAAAAATCAAGAGAGTTCAGCAATTGAGATGACTCCAATTGAAGCCGATTTCTCTTGGCAAAAGAAGATGACCCAACTTGAGATGGAAATTCAAGAGGCATTTTTGCGCTTTATGGCATCTATTTTAAAAGGATACAGAACATATCTCAAACCAATCACAGAAGCTCCTTCAAATAAAGCCACAGCTGTAGATTCATTGTTTGACCGACAGGGTGAGAGGCATTGAAAACACAATTATTGTTACTGAAATGAAAAGTATATTCTATTTACTATTGCTTCCAGAAAATATCTATTTAAATACTAGAAATTTATATTAAAATATAATATGAACTTCTGTGTATATGTAATTTAGTTTATGAATAGAATTTCTTTGATTTTTATACCCTCTATTTTCCTGAGAAATTGGAAACTGGAAATCTTTATGAAAAGTTAAATTTGTTTGCTTTTATTTATAATACTATAAAGTCAGTTATCTTAGTAAAGCATAGTTGGTGATCTGGTTTTTAGGTGTTTGGCTTTAAAATATTCATGAATAGTTTTTGGAATAAGGTGACCATTTATTAAAATTTTTTGAAAAATTAAACATGTTTCAGGGGAAACACTATACTCATTCTTTTTTGCATTTCTTGTTTTAGGGAATTACAAAGTTTTTGACTTTTATACAGCTCGCATTACATATATGTAATAGCAGTATTACAGCGTCATCAATATTCATATGAAGTTGTTTTATACTTCTTTACTTTTACCCAGTAGTTACTTTAAAAAAAATCTGTATTTCCTTTTGTCTTTTATCATCTCTGTTTTGGTATAATTAATCTCTTAAATATTTAACCATCACTTAACTAGTTCAAGTGATTATTATTAAGGATATAAAGAAGTATAAAATCTAGCTCAATGGGATACTAAATGGAAACTAATATAAAACTTTTAAAAAGTAAAAGCACTCATGAAAACAAATTTCATGCATATTAGTGAGAAGTTCTTAAAACTCAGAAAAAGGGGTGTTTTTCCAAATGGGTATTTTAAAAGGCTTCATAGAAGAGCACGACTTGGAGTAAAATAGGAGATGAGTAGGGAAGACCTTCTAAAAAATAATAGGCATTAAAAGTCAAATTTGAGGTGCCTGCCCAGTGGTGCAAAGATTACGTCTCAGCACTATCAAGCTCTCACCAGCCACTGCAGCATGAGTTGTATTCCTGGCCAGGGAGCTAACCCACATGGCACAGCAGACCTCTCCTGTCTCTCCCACTGCACCCGTCAGAGTGTATTTTCAGTAGATCTGCCTGTTGTGCTCCCTACTCTGTCGCTGGTGAATCCCACCCCCTCACCTCTGGCCTATACCCCAGTTCTTATATGCATAAATAAAATAAATCTTTTTTTAAAAGTCAAATTTGAATTAGAATTTCTAGTTTGCTATTTACAAAGCCATCTGGGACTCTCCACATGGGAATGAAAACCTTCTTCATAGAAGGTTGTGAAGATTAAATGAGAAAATATATATGAAACAACTAGTGAAAAGTGTTTTATGATTAGTGATATAATGAATAGAAAAAAATCTCAAGAACAAAAGCATAAGGCATGTTAGAGCTGCCATACCCATAACAAAGTACCTCTTTGGCGATGGTTTAAACAACAAAAATTTATTTTCTCAAAGTTCTAGAGGATAAAAGTCTGAGATCAATATGTTAGCAAGATTGGTTTCCTCTGAAGTTTTTCTTCTTGAGTTGTAGACAATTGTCTTCTCCCTGAATTTTCCTGCTGTGGGAATCTGTATCCAAATTTCGTCCTCTTATAAGAACACAAGTCATTTTGGATTAATGCCCACCTCATTTTAACTTAACCTCTTCTTTAAAGACACTGTCTGCACATATAGTCAATTCTGGAATACTGAGGATTAGAACGACATGGGAATTTGGGGGTGGAGGAAGAGGACTCAAAAACAGCCTTTTGGAAAATGATTTATTGGTATAGATTGACCAGAGTGAGGTTTTGTTTTTAACAGGATAGCATTTGGACTCATGGGGGATACAGACATTAGGTAATAAAATAACAGAGATACTAACTGCATTTTTACTAAGTGTGTAGTGAAGTGTGTGTGTGTGTGTGTGTGTGTGTATACACCTACGTAGTGCAGTGTATATATTCATATACATATTTATGAAATATATGTGAAGTGAGAATACTAGGTCAGGAAAAAGTCCCCTGAAGAAGTAATAATAAGTTTGAGCCTGAAAAATGAAGAGGAATTAAACTATATGTTTTGGGTTAACTTTTTAGTAGGGGTATTTTCATGAAAATAGAATTATAAATGCCCTGTTATCTTCCAGTTTCAGCAGAAGTTGCAGTTAACATTCTACCATTTTTGTTTCACCCACTTTTAGCTTCCCTCCCTTTCTCCCTTTCCCTTCAAATTTCTAATAGAATAGTGTTCCACCCGTAAGCTATTAATAATCCCTTAAAAATTCCTGGATTTATATGTGGGTTTTAATTGATTATGTCCTTAATGGTGTTATTTATCTCTTATCATTTGTATTTTCTTGTAGTTGGATCAAGAGCCACATTGTCCAATAGAAATATAATGTAAGCCATGTATATAATTAAAAGTCATCTAGTAGCCACAGTTAAAAAAAGGCAATAAAGGTTATTAATTGCTACAGTATATTTTCTCTAATCTAATATATCCAAAACAGTATGTAATCAAGTCTTTAAAATTCTAGTGAACTATCTTGCATTCTTTTTTCTATACTAAGAGTTTGAAATTGGCATGTGTTTTATACTTACAGCACATTTCAGTTTGAATTAGCCACATTTCAGGTACTGAATTTCCTTATGTGAGTAGTAGTTACTGAATTAAACAATGCAGAGTTAGAGCTTAATTAGAATCAGGTTTAACTTTCTTTACAAGTAGTGCCAAAATGCATGGTGTATATACTGCTTTCTATTAGGAGACACATACTTGTCTGCTCGTCCTGGTTTTAGTGCTCCTAAGATTGATCAATATTGTCAGTAATAAAATCAAATTTGTGTTTCTGAAAGATCATTCAGAGATTTAAAAAAAAAAAAATCTCGATTGAATAGAACTTGGTGATTGAATAAGGGGTGTAAGGTAGAGGGAGACTCCAGGACCAACTTTGAAATTTTTTGTCTTATAATAATCAAGTTAGATGTTCTCTTTATTGAGAAGGGAACTAGCAGAACAGGGAAGGGTTTAATTACTTGTTAAAGTTTTTTTTTTTTTTTTTTTTTTTTTAAATGTGAAAGAGGAGTTAAGTATGCTGATGAGAAGTCTGTAGTAGAGGGGGAGAATTGTTCTGAGAACCTGGAGGAGCTGGGATCACAAGTTCATTTGGTGAACTTGACCTTAGTTCTTTAGGGAACTTTCTCCTGACCTAGTGAGAACTACAGGAGTTGTAGATTTTCTAGTGAGATAGTGTAGTTCTCATTTAATGATTTTCATTTTCTCTGCTATTTAAGTTCTGATCATTCAGGGATGTGAAAGAGAATACATGGAGAACATAGAAAAAAATAGCTGTGAAAACATGGATAGAGGGAAATTAAGTTGATTCTAGAGATGTAGTGGGCTTGCTGCTCAGCAACTCTTTTTCCTCCTTTAACTTGTGCTTTGTCACACTGGTTCCAATCCAGAGAACAAAGGCAATACATTCTTCTAGGGCCAGGTTATGCTAGGTGAGTCAGATAAAAGGGCATAAGAATTGAGAATGTTGACTGGAAGATGATTGAAATGATGGACCTGGGCCAGGAATCAATGTTGGTTAGGGAGAAAAGTGAAGACAGGAGGGTATAGGTAGAACATGAAGGAGTGACTGGATTGTAGATTTCAGTGAGTCTGCCTCTTTTCTTCCCTCCCCCACACAGAAAATAAAGTTTGGTAATGATACTTAAGTAAGCAAACCAAGATAGATGGGGTAATGATCATAGAATAATATGCAAATCACAGATTTGGAAAACAGAGCATCTTTGTTAGCAAGAAAAGTCTAGGGAGTGTGTAATTTTGTGTAAAAATTGGTGAACAAGGCAGGATAGACCATAGATTGTTGGCATTTAAGAAATTAAGAACCCAAGATGTTGGATGGCTTGTTTGTGGTATTGGAGAATGATAATGGTAGGAGTTGGAGAGAAGACTCCGATATTCTGGCCTTGAGTGAATGAATGAATGAGTGTTCCTAAAGTCAACAGATAATTACAATTAATAGGGGAAAGGATGGTATAGCCAGATGCTTAAGCCTCCAGTCAGCAGAAATTTTTACAAGAAGATACAGTAATTATTGTTTGGTACCACTGCCTGGAAAGGTCACAGACCCCCTCAAGAAATACACAAAGTATCAGAGAGAAATATCAACTTGAAAGCTATAGGATGGGAGTTTCCTTACTAGAGATTTAGATTTCAGTGAAAAGCTTAACATTGTAAGTTTTTTGTGGTTGAATCATGTCGAACACACTTTGATTACAAGAATATGGTTACTAGAAACTTCTATAAATGTGGATATATATATGTAAAGAGAATATGATATAGACTGTACAAATTTTAAATAATGTTTAATATAACAGCTAGTTCACTTAAAATTTGAATATAGTTGTAATTTTGGTGTTTTTCAGGATTTTTAAAAAGCCGAGATCGTGCCTATACAAAATTCTACACCCTTTTATCCAAAACACAGATTTTTATTCGCTTCATTGAAGAATGTAGTTTTGTAAGTGATAAAGACACTGGATTGGCATTTTTTGATGACTGCATAGAAAAGGTAAAAGTTTGTTGTATGTATCAGTGTTAAAGAAAAACTTTTAACAGTCTGACTACCTGTTTCATCATCTGTATTAACCTAAACAATCTGAAGGAGACAACATAGGGATTGTGATGTGTGTGTGTGTGTACCTGTCCTGTTTCTGGACTAAATTTAAGAACCTTTATGCTTTGTAATGTCTGTCACACAGAACAAATTTTTCTCTTTGAATCTCATTTTGTTTTTTATCAGTTACTGAGAGCATTACTTAATTGAATCACCTGTCTTATTTTTTATTTAAATTATAAGAAAATTTATTAGTTCACTTAAAAAGTTTAGTTTTATATGTAACAGAAGTCCTTTGTTTTCTTAATGTCTTTTCAAATATTTGCTAATATATTGCTAATATATTTGCTAATATATTGCTTTTGTCCTAACTGAGGATTTAAGAAATGGTTAACTACTTTTTTTTTTTTTTTTTTGAAATGGTTAACTTCTTTTTTTTAAATAATAAATTTTATTTTTATATTCCCCATACAATTGCAACCCCCCATTTTGACCCCAGTCCCTCCCCTCCCACCCCCCACCCCTCAAAAAGTGTCTCTGGTTCATAGTTTTTTGTTGATTTTGATTTTCACTTTCTTATAGTTATTCATTTTCCTGGTCCCTTATTTAAGTTTTCTAGATTCCTGCTATGAGTGAGACCATCTGGTATTTTTCTTTTTCTTTCTGGCTTATTTCGCTGAGCATGATCCCTTCCAGCGCCATCCATGTTGCTGCAAATGGCATGTGTTTATCTTTTTTGAATGCTGAGTAATATTCCATGGAGTATATGTACCACATCTTCTTGATCCAGTCATCTATTTTTAGGCATTTGGGCTGTTTCCAAAGCTTAGCTATTGTAAACAGTGCTGCTATAAACATAGGGGTGCAGGTGTTCTTTGGAATTGATGTTTCTGTGTCCTTTGGGTAAATACCTAGGAGTAGAATTGCTGGATCATATGGAAGCTCTATGTTTAGTAGGTCCAGAAATCTCCACACAGCTCTCCATAGTGGTTGGACCAGTTTGCACTCCCACCAGCAGTGCAGGAGAGTTCCTTTTTCTCCACACCCTCGCCAACATTTGTTGTTGCTAGTATTTTTAATATGTGCCATTCTCACTGGTGTAAGATGGTATCTCATGGCAGTTTTGATTTGCATTTCCCTGATTACAAGTGATGTTGAACATTTTTTCATTTGCCTGTTGGCCATTTGCATTTCCTCTTCAGAGAAGTTTCTTTTTAGCTCTTCTGCCCATTTTTTTGACTGGGTTATTTTCTTTGTTGTTGTTGAGTCTCATCAGCTCTTTGCAGATTTTTGTGATCAGTCCTTTATCATTAGTGTTGTGTGCAATAATGTTCTCCCAGTTGGTGGGGTTTCTCTTTGTTTTTGTTATTGTCTCTTTTGCTGTGCAGAAGCTCTTTAATTTGATGTAGTCCCAGCTGTTTATCTTTGCCTTCACTATCACTGCTTTGGGTGATGTGTCTGTAAAGATGTCTTTGATGTGCATATCACGTAGTGTTTCGCCTATATTTCCTTCTATGTATTTTATGGTTTCAGGTCTTATGTCTAGTTCTATAATCCATTTTGAGTTGATTTTTGTGTATGGTGTGAGGTAGTGGTCAAGCTTCATTCTTTTGCATGTAGCGACCCAGTTGAAATGGTTAACTTCTAACGTTTTACTCACCCATTCTAACTGTGGAAGTTTGCTTCTTAACAGTGGTAATTAATTCCTTTATATCTATATTTCTCATTTTAATAGTTATTTTTCTAAATGAATCTTGGGCTGACTGCTCATGGGAAGACCATGATTATATTAAATTTGGGATTGTTTCCAAAAAAGGTAGAATATTATTCTGTAATTTTTTTTTTTTTTTTTTTAATTGAGGTAACGTTGGTTTTACAACTCTATTTCTGATTTAGAGGTGTAGGTTCCCACTTCTTCAGATGTATGTTCAACACCATACTCACCACAAAAACATCCATAATTCTTCCCTGTAGTTTACTGGACCCTCTCTCCTTTGCTATTTTCCCCCACCCCCCATCCTAATAGCCTCAAATTTGTATTCAAATTTCTAAAGTTTATTTTGGTTTAGTTTTGTCTGTTCCTTTGTTTTGTTTCTTTGTAGTCCACATATGATTGAAATCATGTGATGTTTGTCTTTCTTTTTTGGCTTATTTCACTAAGCATAATTCCCTCTAGGTCCATCTCTGTTGTTGCAAATAACAAGATTTCTCTCTCTCTCTCTCTCTCTCTCTAGCTGAGTAGTATTCCATTGTGCATATACACCACATCTTCTTTACTACTTACTTGTCATTGGGCACTTTGATTGTTTCCGTAACTTGGCTATTGTAAATTGTGCTGTTCTTTTTTTTTGATATGGGCCACCTCAAAGGTATATGGTAGTATCTCATTGTAGTTTTGATTTGCATTTCCCTGGTGATAACATTTTTCTCACCAACTGTATGTCTTCTTTGGAGAAGTGTATGGTACATGACTTACATGCCTTAGCAGACTTAAATAATTTTTTCCCATTCTGTCAGTGTGATCTAAAACTCTTGGGATATGATTAAAACTATTTTGGTCTTTTTTGTTTACTTATAAAATTGATAGTCTTCTAATTAGTGGGAAGGTTTAGCTAATATCAACCAATAATGCAGAGGTTGAATAATAATGAAATAATAATAATGAAATTTTTTATTGGAAAAGCCAGATTATCCTTGTGATTGGCCACCTTTTGTTTATGAAGAAGAATTCATGAAGAAACTAATCAAAATGTTTTCTATCCTTATAGCCATTAGAGAAGTGTTTTATTATAAGTTAATAGTATAAACCCCCAAAATGTATCATGAAATGTTTTGTATCAATCTGGTACTAAAAAAGGATTTTTTTAAAGAATTTAAGATAAAAGATTTTACTAAGTTTACAGTTGACATTTGCACTAAGCACTCTTTTTTTTTTTTTTTTCAGTTGTTTCCTGATAAAGGCACCGAGAAAGCAGATAAGGTATTTTTCTTAAACATTTTTGAATGCTGTAATTTCAGAATTAGATATTATTTAAAAATAAATTAATTGGAGAAAATAATTATTTTCAGGTTGATTTTGACTCAGCAGAAGACACCAAATTGATAGAGCTAGATGATTCACAGAAAAGTGAGCATACTGTTTTCATAATGCCTCCAGAACCACCTCCTGATGATGGAAAGGAGCTGCCACCAAAGTACAGGTAGCAAGAATTTAAAAAAAAAAAAATTGGACACAGCTTTAATAATTCATTTCTTGTGACTATTAGTAGAAATGTATATCATTTGTGAAGGTCATTTCTAAATTTATTCACTGACTGACTTAATGGAGATAAATATTTTATGGAGATGTCACCAGATGTTATTAAATTATAAACTAAGGATAACCTTATTGAAGGGGCAGCCAGATGTTAATCACTCTTTATTAAACATTTAACTGTATTTTAATTTTTTTTTCATATTTTAAATTTTTTAAAGTTTCATTTCTGAAGAAAAAAATTACTTTTGTGAGGTTCCTACCCCTTTGGTGGTTTTTATTGTTGATATAAAGACTAAAATTCTTATTCATTCGTAAGCTATCAGAGAATATTTACAAGTAATTGACTCAGAATTATTCTTTATTAAATAAACTTAAAAAATAAGATTTGGATAGGAATTTTTTTAAGAATTTAAAGTGTACTTGATTGTTTATTGTTATAATCATGATAATGCACAGTTCAATAAACTTAGAAAATCAAAAACAAAAGGGAAATGAACACATCATTTTAGCCCCAGTATTTAATTTCTATTAATTGTAAATATATCTTTACTGCCATTTTGTGCATAAATATGCATTTCCTACGCTTAAAACAAATATGAGTTCATCTTGTAATCTATGTTTTTCTTTAATGGTCTGAACATGTTTCCATGCTGATAAATATTTTTGTTATCATATCATTTTGAATGGCCACATTGCATGCTTTACTGTGATTTGTTTAGTCTATTGTGAAGTTGTTCATAGTTCTTTGCTATCTATATCTTTGTGTATATGCAGTTATTTTCTTAGGTTCTGTTGCTAAAAGAATCTCTGGGCAAAAACAATATAAAATTTCTCTTCCAAAACTGAAATCAGTATATAATCTTACCAGGACAGATAAAAATAATGAGTATGTACCTAGGATTTAGTACTATTTTTGGTTGGTTTTTTTTTTTTTTTTAAGATTTATTCATTTATGCACACAAGAGCTGGGGTAAGGCCAGAGATGTGGGGGGTGAGAGGACCCACCAGAGACAGAGTTGGGATCAGAACAGGCAGACCGACTGAAATATACTGCTGAGGGGAGCAGCAGGTGAGACAGGAGTGGTCTGCCTCACTAGGTGGGTAGCTCCCTGGCCGGCCGGGGATCAAACTCGTGCTGCAGAGGCTGTGGACAGCTTCACAGTGCAATGCTTAACCCCTTGCGCCACCAGGAAGGCCCTAGAACTATTTTTGATTAAATGTTAAATATAGAATTCGTTTTTAATTTGGCTTAATCACTGTATTTTGGGATCCAATATTAACCAAGTACGTCAGATAGAGAAGGGCAGTATCTCTCAGAAAAAAGGTAGCCAAAGGAAGTATGTAGGCATTTTCCAAGAAGAAATTTTACCGGATAATAATACATCAAGCTTTTCTAGTATTCAAAGAAATGTGAACCAAAATGATGAATTGGAAACATTTTTAACCTATTAGATGAGGATGGGCTATGAGGATGAGTTAGACTATGTAAAAAACTATTTTGGAAATAGCTTGGCAAAATTTTATAATTTTGATTCTCCCGTTAAACTTAGTAAACTCAGTTACTGAATGTTTTCCTAAGAAATTAAACAGAATTATTCACAAAGATATATGTACAAAGATATTAAATTGTAGAAATTCACAAATAATTAAAAATGTCTAGCAATAAAAAATGGATTAAATTGTGGTATTGCCCTAAAATAAAAATACTATGGATTTTTTCTTTTTAAATACCTATGCAAGGTAAATTTATGAATTAACACTTAAAATTACTAAATATAGTAAATGTTATGTTATTTTAAAATATAAATTGTCACTCAACCCATGGAATCGGTTCAAATTATTATTTATTCCTCTGTGAAGTAAGATATCAGGATTTTCTTTTTTCCAGGGTTTGGCTGAAATTGCAGATAATTTGGGGGGCGCAAAATTTTCATGTAGGTAGTCTGTAATCTTATAACAAAACCATCATATATTTTGGGGGAAAAAATTCTGTATAAGTATTTGAGAGACTAAGATTTGGTACTTATTTGAGGTTTAAAAATTTTCACCTAATTCTGGAAGTTAATGTATTTTAAATCAGCAGTTCTATTTTTGCTTTTTATTTTAGTTACAAATACTTTCCAAGACTGGACCTTAAGCTTTTTGACAGACCACAGGAATTGAAACTTTGTTTTAGTAGACACCCTACTGGGACTAGCATTACAAACAGTCCAGCTCTCATGGCTAAGAGAACTAAACAGGTCAGATTTTCTTTATCTAATAAATATTAATTTAAAATGTAAGATATGTATATGTGATATGCAGCTTATAGTTTAGAAGTATCACCCACAGCAACCATTTGAAGTCTCACTGTGGTTGTTAATGATTAAATTAGATTTCTTGCAACCCTCAGAATGCTGAGATGGAAGGTTTTGAATGCTTATGTTTACAGTTTAAGAGACTCCTTGGGAACCAAATACACTTTTTAAAAAGGAACTTTATTGAGATGTAATTCATGTGCTCTACAGTTCACCCACTTAAAGTATACTCAATAACTTGTACTGTATTCATAGGGTGGTGCAGCCATCACCATGGTCAGTTTTAGAACATTTTTATCATGCCCCCACCCCCACTCCCATGAGAACATTCACACCCCTTAACTACCAATTTCTATCAATTTCTCCATTCCTGAGAACCCTAGGCAATCACTAATCTCCTTTCTGTTTTTATAGTTTTGCCTACCAGGGCACTTCATACAAATGAAATTGAACAACATGTGATTATTTGTGGTTGGCTTTCTTTACTTAGCTTAAAATTTTTAAGGTTTATCTATGTTGTGGCATGTTTTAGTACTTCATTTCTGCATAGTATTCTATCATATGGATACACCATGTTTTACTTACTCATTCATGAATATGTGGGTTTTTACTTTTGGCTTTTTTGCTTAATGCTGCTATGAACATCTGTGTCCAAGTGTTTGTGTGGGTGTATGTTTTATTTCTCTTGGGTATATGCCTAGAAATAGAATGTTGTGTCATATGGTAATTCTGTGTTTAACCTTTTGAGGAATTGTCACTATAATTTCCAAAGTGACTACACCATTTTACATTTCCACCAGCACAGTAGTGTGTAAGGACTCCAGTTTCGCTACATCCTTGGTGATTCTTGCTATTATCTGTCTTTTTCATTATAGCCTGCCTTCCTAGTGGGAGTGAAGTACCATGTCATGTGTTTCTTTCATAATTAATGTAAATATACTTTATATCAAGTATTATATTCTAAAGGGACCTGAAGGAAATTATCTTAGGGCAATTGGGATATTGCTTTAATACCATATCTGACTTAAATATATAAAGAATTAAGCTATGATTAATGTATCTTTTAAACACACACTGAATTTTGCAGGTTTTCAAACTCAGAGAATTTGCAACTAAAATTCTTAGATCAGATCTTAGCAATTCATGGACAGTCTTTAAAATCTACAGGTAACCTGAGGTGTTCCTTAGTTCTATACAGTACCCATTTCTCTCAATGTTAACTTGAGGGGAAGCACCCAAAATTTTTCAGTTTTACTGTTGCCAGCTTAATAAAGGCCAGTTTTTAAAGGGAAGAATTTTGCTGCTAAGTCTATAAATCACATTTTCATCAGAATGTTATTTTCCAGGGTAGCCAAAAGAGAAAAGGACCTTCATCTCTTAGAACAACAAGGCACTATATTTTCAAATACCTCTTCAAGTCTCATAAGAGAACTCATAAGAAAAATGAATACACCAGGATCTTTTTACTTGAATCATATCCTAGCAGAGGGAACTTTAGTGTAAGGCACACCGTGACAGTCTCACATATCTGGAAGGCTCTCTAGTTTCTTGGAGTATATATAGTTTGACAAAGTTCAGGAGGTGTTTCTGATACCTTTTCTTTCACCTAAATCAGAATGAAAATCAGAAACAGAAAACATGACAAACTATTAGGTAGGAAGATTTGTCATCTTATATTATAGTGCCCACAAAGGAATGGGTCTTTTGTGGAGTCAGTCAGTGAAGAGTAACACTGATTGAGATGAGGGAGAGTAGAGTAGAAATCATCACAGAAAATAGCCTAGGACATTGAAAACTTTCAGCAGGAAGAGGGTGAGAAGACTATCCCTTTTAAGAATGACAAGAACTCAGAAGCTATAGTCAAATACCTTACGTCCATCAAACATATGAGTGATTTCAATGTGAAGGACACCTAATTAACCATTATATTCTACATTGTGAGTGATCTCTGCTTTGAAGGAATTTCTAGTCTATTAAGGCATGCTTGCCAACAAATAGTTACAGTGTAGTATAAATTGTTTCTTTAAATGAGAGTTGAAGGAACTGTGTGGCGCTAAGGAGGAAGCCACTCCAAGAAGTAGAACTATGAAGTACTTAATTTTAGGATCAGATTTTACATTTTTTTCTGTCTTTCCCTTCTCTTTTACACCACCTTAATGCATTTTAGTAAATACTAAAATGTTTCATTTATTTTCTTTCTAGGAGATAAAAACAGCTCATAAGTTGGCAAAGAGATGTTACACAAATCCACCACAATGGGCAAAGTGTCTCTTCAGTCATTGTTACAGTTTATGGTTCATTTGTCTCCCAGCCTATGTTAAAGTTTCTCATCCTAAGGTCAGAGCACTTCAACAGGCCTATGATGTACTTATTAAGATGAGGAAAATGGATGTGGATCCTCTAGATGAGGCAAGTATAATAAAATGAGTTATTATTACTAAGGTCAAATATGTGTTGTGTTTTTAGGAAAACACATGTCTCAGTCACATTAAAGTGTCAGTCAGCTATTTCATTGAGCAGGAAATGTAAAACTATTACTTTGTTTCATAAAGTTAGTATTTATTTTTAAATTTTTAAAAAAGATTTATTTATTTATGCATGTAAGAGCTGGGATGTAGGCCAGAGGTGCAGGAGGGTAGTGAGAGGATTCACCAGAGAGAATGGGCAGCAAAACAGGTGGTTCTACTGAAATACACTGCTGAGGGGAGCAAGGGGCGAGACAGGAGAGGTCTGCTGCGCCATGTGGGTTGCTCCCTGGCTGGGGATCAAACTCATGCTGCAGTGGCTGTGTATCACTTCATAGTGCTGGAACTTAACCCCTTGTGCCACCAGGGAGGTCTTTATTTTTTAATTTTAATACATTTGTTTAAAAATTACTGCTTTGGAATGAAGCAGGGCTTCCTTCCTTAGAATAAATTGTTTGTTTGCCTGTGGTTAGTGGAAATGCTGACTTCATTTTATTCCTTTTTTTTTTTTAAAGATTGATTTATTTATGCATACAAGAGCTGGGGAACAGGCCAGAGATGCGGGGGGTGAGAGGATTCACCAAAGACAGAGTGGGGACCAGAACAGGCAGATTGCGGCCAGGGATCAAACTCGTGCTGCATATCATGGCCAGGGATCAAACTCGTGCTGCAGAGACTTCGGATTGCTTCATAGTGTGCTGCTTAATCCCTTGTGCCACCAGGGAGGCCCTTCATTTTATTCTTAGTGTAACCTTCTTAGGAAACAAATAGAGAATAGACTTACTAAGTAATTCTCCACTTAGGACTTGTGTCCTAGGGTGAATTATGTAATTTATCTGTTTTTCATATTGTATATCTGAAAATGCAGATCTGAATTTTACACACTTGGTACCATTGACATTTTGGCCCTCATAACTATTTATTGTGGGGCCTGCCTGTACATTGTAGGATTTTTAGCAGCCTCCCTGGCTTCTACCAACTAAATGTCAATAGCTATCTCCTTCCCTCCATGGTAATTAAAAGTGTCCACAGACATTAACAAATGTCCCTTGGAAGACAAAGTTACCCCACTGATGTGGAGTAATAATAATTAGTACCTTCTTCATAGGATTAATTTTAGGGTTAAGTTAGTAAATGCACATAATATGCCTAGAATAACACCTGGTTCATCGTAAGCTCTCTGTGGATGATGTGGTATTGTTTTGTATGCATTGTCTCTCTTAAACCTAAATTATACTCTCCATTTCTCACTTCATAGTATTCATCTTCCTTTTCAAATCCTTTTTCCTATTTCAGTTCTTCTGTTCTCTTTAATAACATATCTTTTCTCAAATCTTTTTACTTTCCCTTTAGTAGAAAGAACCATTTTGCCTTTTGGTACTCCTAATTGTTCACCAGCTCTGTCATAAACAGCACATTTTATAATTCACAAAATAGTATATTCTATATAAATGCTTCCTTATTCTCAAATTAAATCTTTGACTGCTCATCACCATTCCTATAAACTGACTCACCTGATTTGAGACCCTTGAGATTCTGGTGTCAATTTTTGGTTCCCACTGTCATTTTCTAATATGTGAAATTCAGGTTTTTAGGAGTTTCCACTTGACTTATGTTCTCATGATCAAGTCTAGCCTTATAAATACTATCCTTAGCAAAGCCTTTGCTAATTATATTCAGCATATTAAACTTCTCATACTCTTTTTAAGACATGGATTTATACAATTCATTTTGCTATATAACCATTCTGGAGATTCTCTAATTCCTTTATAGTCCATAGACTATAAATGATTGGTGAAACAACTGTTTTAATCATACCTGATTTTAAAGATGAATTTTCAAATTATAGAGAGTAATAGTCATTCTCTTTTTGTTACTGAAACAAGTGGAACACATGTACTTATCTAAAAAAGTTAACAATGCTGGTTCTGTTATAAGGAATAGATTTTAAAGATAGTTAACCGAAACTCTCAAATCAGAACAAAAGAGAAAATAGTGCTTAATAACTTTAGAAGAAGTTTCGAGTAAAGTCATTTAAAAGTCTGTACTCGTCACAAAATTACGCTAGCTACTAATACTTTGATGTTATTTTTTGTTAGGTTTGCTATCGTGTAGTAATGCAACTTTGTGGACTTTGGGATCATCCTGTTTTAGCAGTGAGAGTCTTATTTGAAATGAAAACTGCTAAGATAAAGCCAAATGCTATTACTTATGGTTATTATAATAAGGTAAGTAGAGTTGACATTAGGTAATACATGCTTATTAAGATTAATAATTTCTTACATTTTATATTATTCATGAAATTTCCCTTAGAGGTTTTGGCTATACTTCTTTATATATGTATTACATATGTATATATTTTTAAAACATCAACTATCCCTAATAACATTTTTACCTGTTTTTTTTATTTTTAGGTAGTTTTGGAGAGTTCCTGGCCTAGTAGTACCCGCAGTGGTATCTTCTTATGGGCGAAGGTACGGAATGTGGTACGAGGTTTGGCACAGTTTAGGCAGCCACTTAAAAAGACTGTGCAAAAGTCACAGGTTTCCTCAATATCAGGTAATACATGTGATTGGAAAGATATTTTCGTGCTGAATCATAGCTTTGTAGGCACATACATTCTTAACTTAAGTGAAATAGAAAATGTAAATAAAATTTTGGCTTATATTTTCATATATAACTGAAGATAGATATGATCTTAAGTCCAAAATTATTTTTCCCCACTGTTTTAGGAAGTGTTCTGCAGTCATAAATGAACTGTGAGTTATTCATGTTTAACTTTGGAGATTATCAGTGCATGAGTATTGAACTGCTATTGTCCTTATCTTTAGCTCCTCAGAATGCCACAGGTGGAAGTGATGGGGACACGGTGAGCCACGGTAGCGTGGATAGTTCTAATGATGCTAACAATGGGGAGCATACAGTCTTCGTCAGAGATTTAATCAGTCTTGATTCCATTGATAATCACTCTAGTACAGGTACTAAAATATGCATTTTACTAACCCTTCACTTACTCTCATTTAAGTCTTTTCTTTTATTGAAAAACTTTTACCCTTCTTTTGTGAGTTTGTGCAATGTGAGTACGTTAGCAACACTGTATCTAAATAAGAGAAGAAATTATACCTCTGATTGCAGATCGCTTCATTTCCTGAAGTATAAAATTAACTTTGGAGTGCTGTGCACAAGGCTCTAGCATGGTGCTTCTTTCTTCATGAATTTGTGAAAGTATATGATTGTGGGGAATTGTAAGCCAAGGAACTTGAATATTAGTGACACAACTAGCAAGTCTTTTTTTTTATTAACTGAAAAATATTAAAGATTTGAGACTATGAATGCTAAAGAAGGAAGAAATAGGTTTTACATCACGAGAAAACGTTTTTATTGCAGTCATTTTTTGGACTTTTTTTTTAATTGGAGAAAATTCTGAAACTATTTTTACAGGGCTGTGAGTATAACCTCTGTCCTCTGAAGTTAGAAATAAGTGTAATTCAAGTGGCACATTGAGCAGATATATATGTGTTGCCCATCCTTCTTCTTGTGTTGTTTCCCCTTTGTTGTTGTTATTGTTAATATTTCAAGCTTTTCTTTAAAAAGAATTCTAATTCCTGTGCTTCATCTGATGAACTTGTCTCAATGACTGAAGTTTCCTTTTCTCTGCTCTTTGTTGCTCTGCTTTTTGCTCTGTGCTGTTCTTGGTGCTGCATTTGTCCTTGGCTGTCATGGTGTGGGGTGCAGACAGACTTGTATGACGTGAAGCTATGGATACACGTGTGCATTAATTCTACCCTTGAATGTTAACCACTTCAGGTAAATTCCCATTTCTTAGGTTAAATTTGCTGACATGCAAGGGTTGGGGAGAGATCTTTTGTTATATTTTAAGTATTGTTACAAGTACAAAACAACTTTAGTTTTCTTGACTTTACCTCCTTTGGATCAGTTTAATCAAATATCCAACTGAACATTCTATGGTCAATTTGCAAAGTAATGTGTTATCTTATTTGAAAATAAACTGTGCCTTGATGTACTTTTTATTTTGAGATTGGTTTGTAGCATCATTTTATCAATAGTTTTATATGGGTATTAAAGATTTCAGTATTTCAGATATTGAGGCTGCTTTTTACTTAAATTGTACTTGAATTCTTTTTGTTTTATTGTTTTTACATTTGATTTTTATTTATTCATTAAAATTATTTATTTATTTATTTATTTATGCATATAAGAGCTGGGGTACAGGCCAGAGGTGTGGGGGTTGAGAGGATTCACCAGAGACAAAGTGGGGAGTGGAACAGGCAGACTAACTGAAATACACTGCTGAGGGGAGCAACGAGTGAGACAGGAGAGGTCTACTGTGCCAGTGGGTAGCTCCCTGGCTGGGGATCTAACTCAGGCCATAGTGGTGATAGTGCTAAGACTTAACCCCTAGGACACCAGGGAGGTGTCCTGTTTTCACATTTTAAAACAACACGTTTATTAGGAAAAGGAGCAGGAAAAGAGGCCCCTGCATAGTCACAGGAGGGTAGAACTGCTGCACTTGAATTCTTGTACTTAAAACTACCCACATAATTATAGAAGCATGTATATAAGTCATTGGAAGTCAACATGTAGCTATTAGGTCACAATCCTGTTTGTAAATTAGCTTTCTACCAAGTAAAAAGTAGGAAGTTTTATGAGACTTTCATTTTAAACTACCTTATTTTATGTCCTCCTGAACCTTTCCCCTAATACTTACAAAGAAATGGATTTCATTTATGAAAAACCAAGAAAATAATTTTGTGGCATGAGATCATTACAAAATAATAATAATAATAATTATTATAGTAATAAAGCAATTTGCTTAACTCTAGATTTTTTTTAACTTGTTTCATTATAGAGGCAAATCAGGCCTTTAGTGGGGAGAAAATGATGTAGTGATTCTGGATAATTGACATAAAGAGTCTAACAATAGGGGAAAGTACTTCAGATCCCTATTTCCTATATGTTTCTTTTCAGCCACATTTCAAATATCAGAAGGAAGCTATGATACTGAATTTGTAGGGATTAAGTGTCTCTATACAGTTTCTGATGCTGCCATTTGATACTTTTAAAGACTTACAGCCCAGATGCTAAAATTACTTTTTCATTAAGGATTGTCTCAGAATATTTCTGCTTGGTACTTGATAGTGAGTCACTTAGCTTTTTTTCAGGGACTTACCTAGGTTTAATCAATTTACTCAGTGCCCAGGCTAGTGTTAATTTCATGAGGCGAGCCAATAAAAAGTATCTGAACTAGTATTTAAGGTTTTTAAACCCATAGCTTGAGTGGTGATGGCAGAAAGTGGAAGGCATTACTATTTTTCGTGTTTTCCATTGGCATCCTTTATAATGATTCTCTAGTATATTATACTAGATTATAATGATTTTCTGGTTTTAGTTTCAGTTTAATTTCAATGTTAAATAATAGAATTTTAAAGCCAAAGTAGACTTTAAAAAGCTTTTTCTTGAAATCTATTCAGACTTAAAAGAAATGTTGCATGAATAGTAGAGCAAACTCATATTTAGATTCATTCACCTTTAGCTTGCCACATTTGCTTTATTGTTTTCTTTATAAAATACATATTTTTTCCTCTAAATCATGTGAGGGCAGGGTATGTACATCTTGCCCCTTTTACTCTTAATAACTTCAGTGATATTTTATATAATCACAGTATAGATACCAAATTCAGGAAAATAATGATATACAACTTTAATGTGTTGTCTATATTTCAGTTTTGTCAATTGTTGTACTGTCTTTGGTTGTACTTTACTGCCCTGTCTTCAGTTGTCTTTAACCTGGCACAGTTCCTCAACCTTTACCTTTTATACTTCAGCTTTTTTGAAGAATTCAGTCTAGTTATTTTGTGAATGTTTCTCAACTGAGTTTGTCTGATGTTACCTGTGATCAGATTAGGTTATGCATTCGTTCCTTTATTTTCAAAATGATGTATCCTCAAACAGTCACATCCAGAGGTACACATGGTGTGTTTGCCCCTAGCTGGTCATGTCAATTTTGATTAACATGTTAGTATTGTTTGGTTTCTCTGTTACTGTTGTCCCCCTTGCAGATATGAAGATACCCTGAGACTATACAATTATGTCCTTTTTGTCTTTCTTTGTATGGCTTATTTCATTAAGAATAATCCATGTTGCTGAAAATTGCAGGATTTCATCCTTTTTATGACTAAGTAGTATTCCATTGTGCATATATAACATACCTTCTTTATCCCATTATCTTCCAGTGGGCACTTAGGTTGTTTCCAGATCTTGGCTGTTGTGTACAGTTCTGCATTGAACATGCAGGAAACAGATAACCCTTCAAATTTTTTATTTTTTGGTTAAATACTCAGAATGGAACAACTAGATCATGGAATTTCTGTTTTTAATTTTTTGAGGAATCTCTGTACTGCTTTTCATAGTAGCTATAATATTTACTTTTCCACCAATAGTGTGCAAATGTTCCCTTCTCTCCACATCTTCCCCAACACTTCTTGTTTCTTGTCTTTGGATAATAGCCATTCTCACAGGTGTGAGTTGATATCTCTTTGTATTTTGATTTGCATTTTGCTAATAATAACATGATGATGAGCATCTTATGTGCCTATTGTCCGTCTGTATGTCTTCTTTAGAGGAGTGTCTATTCAGATCATCTGCCCATTTTCTAATCAAATTTGGGTTTTGTTGTTGAGTTTTATGAGTTCTTTATGTATTTTGTTTTTTTTTTTTTTTTTTTTTAAAGATTTATTTGTTTATTTATTTATTTATACAAGCACTGGGTACAGTCAGAAGCGCGGGAGGGTGAGAGAATTCACCAGAGCCAGAGCGGGGAGCAGAGCAGGCAGAAGGACCGAAGTACACTGCTGAGGGGAGCAGCGGGCGGCAGGAGAGGTCTGCGCGCCATGTGGGACCCTCCTCTGGTGGCCGGGGAGCAGCTGGGGATCGAACCTGTGCTGCAGAGGCTGCCGGCAGCATCACAACCCAGCGCTCAACCGCTGCGCCACAGGGGAGGCCCAGAGTTCTTTATGTATTTTGGATACTAACCTCTTGTCAGATGTGTGATGTGCAAATATCATCTCCCATTCAGCAGTATGTCCTTTCACTGTGCAGAAGCTTTTTAGTGTGATGTAGTCAAACCACTTATAGTTTATTTTTGCTTTTCTTTTCCCCAAAAGCATCTCATTTGTTATTGTTAAGCAACATATTGCCTGTTTTCTTCTATGTTTTTATGGTTTCAATTCTTACATCCAAGTCTTCAATCTGCTTTTCCCTTCTTTTTTCCCCTCTTTCTTTCTTTTCCAATCCATTTTGAATTAATTTTTGTCTATGATGTCAGATAGTGGTCTAACTTCACTCTTGCCTGTGACCGTCTAGTTTTCACACTACCATTTAGTTAATATCCTCTTTCTCATCACAGCTTCTCTTCTAAATATCACATTCATTGATGATTCTTGCCAGAACTAGTCTCTACTATGAAAGTTAAGAGTGGTGATTTTGCCAACTTTTTGTCCCTCTACCTTTCTAAGATGATATATTGTATGTTTTCAGACATCCCCCATCATGTTGTTTGAGCTTTGCTTTCTTATATACAGTAAAATGCTTTTGGATCATTTTTGTGCCTTCCCTTCTTGAGCTCTGCAATCAGCCATAATTTAAGGATTCCAGATTCCTATTAATAAAGAATAGATCTTAGAAACCAAGATCTGGGCCCTACTTGTGCTTATTGCTGTCACAGTATTACTGCTTCTTGACTTTTCCAGCAGAGCTAGAAAATATGTATGTATACATGCATGTATGTATGTGTGTGTATTGGAAATACCTGCAATTCTAATGAGCCTCATAGAGCCTCCAGTGAGCCTTTGATTTACTTTATTCTATTTAATTAAAAAAAATTCCTTCTTCCACAGTAAGAATCTTGCCTCCCAAATCATCATCACATTTAACTCATTTCCTGAGGCCTAAAGTACAAATAAAATAATTTCAGAATTCTTAAACCCCTCCTCCTGTGAGAACAAAAACCTTCCTCAGGAGCTCAGGATACTTTTTACCCCAACCTTCCACTCCCCGCAGACCTCCTCTCCCCCTTCTTAAGGTAAAGACTCAAAATAATGTGTTCAAAAGTAAGGATTGGTTTTCCCACAATCATTTTAGTGTGATTATGTTATTCCTGTGAAATTTAGTTGGTTTCATTTGTTACTGTGTGCATTCAATTTTCGTTCTCTTTTCTCTCCTACCCCAGCTTGTTGAATTGATTTTTTGAACATGTAGGAAGTAATACATTCCAAAAATAAAATGTATACAGGAAACCACAGTTAAAGAAGTTTCTTCTTTCTCTATCCCTTCCATCCTGTTTTTCCCCCACCCTTTGTGACAATTTTTATTGTTTCTGATTTTATTATCCCTGCATTTCTTTGTGCAGATATGTTTATTTCCTCTTCTTTGTTGCACAAAGAGGTAGACACGCTCTAAAAAACTTGTGAGAGCATCTTGTCCAGATCTGTTAATTTGCAGTTTGTACTTGAAATTAAAGAGTTCAGTGCTTTAAGTGTGTAGTGTCCTTTGATGTTCTGTTTCAACTGTTCTTTGCTTGTTTTCTTTGTTTAAAATGGCCTATTGTGCTTTGTGAGCTTTCTTGCCTTTCTTTTCTTTAAGTTTCATTGTACAGATCAATAGAATTGTTTTACATTTTATAACTGTAAATCTGAAAATATTTAAATATAAGTCTGCATTTTTTTTAACAGGTGGTCAGTCTGATCAAGGCTATGGTTCTAAGGATGAACTTATAAAAGATGATACAGAAATTCATGTGTCAGAAGAACAAATAGCAAGAGAACTGATAACTAAAACAAAAGTGCAAACAGAAGGTTATGTATTGATATTTATTAGCTATACTTAGAAAATTACCTATGTTACTTAAAAGTCTTTTATGATAATTTTGGTGATAATTTCAAAAAATGTAAGGTCTGGGCTTGTACAACACTGTCTATGTACTGTTACATGAGATAGGTTTGGGTATCTATGAATTTTCCAATCTTTATAGATTCTGTAGGTCAGACCTTGATTTTACAGAAAATAGTATCCCATTGAAGTATCATTTGCCACTATTGCATGGCTTCTTTGTAACAGAACTAGAACTAAACTTTTGAGTCATCAAATTTATTTTGCAGTGCCCCTATTTTAAAGTGCTCTTTCATTTGAAGTACTTCAGTTATCTAACTGGATATTTTTGATTGGTAGGTTAAATAAAGTCTGTGTGGTTTTTCCTGTGGTTTTTGGTGTTTGTTTTTTTTTTTAATATTTAATTTTTAAGTACCCCCTTTCTTTTTAAGATTTATTTTTATTTATTTATACAAGCACTAGGCACAGTCAGAAGCGCGGGAGGGCGAGAGAATTCACCAGAGCCAGAGCGGGGAGCAGAGCAGGCAGACCGATGAAATACACTGCTGAGGGGAGCAGCGGGCAGCAGGAGAGGTCTGCGCGCCATGTGGGACCCTCCTCTGGTGGCCGGGGAGCAGCCGGGTATTGAACCAGTGCTGCAGAGGCTGCGGGCAGCCTCGCAACCCAGTGCTCAACCGCTGTGCCACCGGGGAGGCCCGGTTTTGTTTTTGTTTTTTGTTTTTTTTTTCCAATTTTCTGGGCCTCATTGAGCTGATTTGTAGTAATCATTTTATGGAAATATAGAGGAATATTTTGGCTTTGTGATAAGAAGATGATCTTCCTATCCTCTCATACAAAACACTTTCTTTAATGATGATGTTACTTGTTTTATGCTCCAGAGCTTTGCAGAAGCAAGTCCCTCTTCTACTTTTAAGTGATTAGTATAACTGAAGGTTAAAGCCTTTATCCACTCAAGAATGCTGACATTAGCATTATTAAATACTAAAATAAAGTAAGTATTTCAGTCAATATGGTCAACATTGAAATTGTCAGACATATAAGTCAGTAATGAAATAGTCATGTGTTTGCCCCTCTTGGGGAAAAATACATAAACTATATAAAATCAGTATATATTTTCTGTTCAATATTAGCAAAAGTGAAATGCTAACATCCAGATATTTTTTCCCCCCCAGAACTGTGTGATCTCTCTGCTGTTATGGCAAAACATTCACAACCTAATGCAGAGGCCCAGAGTCCTACTGAGCCCCCTGCTTGGGGCAGCAGTATTGTGAAAGCTCCGTCTGGTATATTTGATGTCAATGGCAGGAAAAGCAGCATTGGTGAGTCTCTACATATTGATTTTTTTTTTTTTTTTTTTTTTTTTTTTAAAGATTTGTTTATTGATTGATTGATTGATTGATTGATTTATACATACAAGCACTGGGTACAGTCAGAAGCACGGGAGGGCGAGAGAATTCACCAGAGCCAGAGCGGGGAGCAGAGCAGGCAGAAGGACTGAAGTACACTGCTGAGGGGAGCAGCGGGTGGCAGGAGAGGTCTGCGCGCCATGTGGGACCCTCCTCTGGTGGCTGGGGAGCAGCCGGGGATCGAACCGGCGCTGCAGAGGCTGTGGGCAGCTTCGCAACCCAGCGCTCAACCGCTGCGCCACCGGGGAGGCCCTCTACATATTGATTAATAAATATTTGGAATGTACTTCTTCAGGCATAAATGTGTCTATTGATACTAAATTGATGACTTAGTTGTAATGAACATGCTAAAGAGCCAAAAGTATGTTTAAATCTTACAAATGGAGTTTAAAAAAAAAGTTAAAATAGTTGTTATTTAAAGATACTTAATGTTTTAAAGGAAGGCTATTTAGTGTGTTTGTTAGTGGGAAACCTTTTTTTGTTTTAGTGTCTATTCTGAGTTTGGTGCCTCTTTCTCATCGTAGATAGTGAGAGAGGAAAGGACTGTAGGGCTTCCTCTATTCAAGAACAGTGATGTGATTGAATCCCAGAGGACTTAATGTGTGACAGCATAGTCCCTATTGCTGAAGAGAAATGGGAGAAAAGATTCACATCACTTAGGCTCTACACAAACATGCCAGTGGGTCTTGAAGTTTGATGCAGTTATTATAGGCATCCAGAGTCACTTCTTGTTGGTGATTAAGTACTTGTAATGAGTAGTCTGTTGCATGTGACTCCTTGAATTTGAGTTTATTAGTTTCAGTTATGTTCCAGCACCTTTAAGGCATACAACTAAGTATATCATTTTAAAGGACAATGAAATTAGCTTGAGTCCTTTGCCCTTCACTTCTCTAAGATCAACTGTCTTATGTGTATATATTATATAATTTTATGGAAATTGGTTTTTTCCGTATCTTAAATTGATGTAGAAATTACTCCTGGTTCCTAATCTTTTCCTTTTTTATTTACTGTGATAACAAGTTGAGTTTGTTTTATTTTTTGGGTTGTGTTCAAGAGATGGAGTTTGAAGGCTTTTTGAAAAAATAATTAGAGGCCTCCCTGGTGCCGCAAGGGGTTGAGATGCAACCTATGAGGCTGTCTGCAGCCTCTGCAGCACAAGTTCAATCCCCAGCCGGGGAGCTAGCCACATGGCGCAGCAGACCTCTTCTCGCTCGCCCGCTGCTCCCCTCAGCAGTATTTTTCAGTCAGTCTGCCTGTTCTGTTCCCCACTCTGTCTCTGGTGAATTCTCTCACCCCGCCCCCGCCACCTCTGGCCTGTACCCCAGTATGCATAAATGAATGAATCTTTAAAAAAAATTTAGTATTTTTGTTCTATATCCAATTTTCCCAACTTACTGATAGCAAGTTTAAAAAAAAAAAGGCAGAATTTTCTTTGCCAGAGGTTTAAAATTTAAAAAAATTTTAGAATATTGAGATGGATGTGGTCTGGGAACTGATATGTTTCCTCCCCTGTTTACTTATTTCTATAGTTCAGCTTAATCTTGAAAGATTTACTCTATTTAGTCAAAAGGTGGTAGTACTGGGATTCTTCACAGTATATCAAAATAAATTTTATTTTAAAATTGTTCTCACAAATGTACCACTGAATTCCTGGAAATATTGCAAGAACCAGTAAATTTGCAAAGATATTTTTATTTTTGCATAGAACTGGGGTACAAGGCAGAGGTGGGGGATGGGGAATAAGAGGATTCACGAGAAACAGAGTGGGGAGCAGAACAGACAGATCCACTGAACTACACTGCTAAGGGGAGCAGCAGGCAAGACAGGAGAGGTGTGCTGCACCATGTGGGCTAGCTCCCTGGCCAGGGATTGAACTCAGGCTGTAGAGGTGGGCCTTTGTGGTGGTAGCGCTGAGACTTAACCCAATTATTGGTAAAAGTTTTCAAAGAAGGTTCAAATTTTGGATTTGTAAAGCAGTCTAATTTAATTCTCCTGAAAGCTATCACCGTGTCCCTAACTGCTTATTACTAGTTCTGTTAATTGATATAATTATGATTATTTGTTGGTACCAATTTAGAAGACTAAAAAGACTTTAAATCCATTTAGAAGATTAAGAAACAGAATTTGTCAAAGACTCCCTTAAAACTCCCAGTTCCTTATGGTTTTTTTTTTTTTTTTTTTTTTTTGAAGATTTATTTTCGCATGCAAGAACTGGGGTACATTCCAGAGGTGCAGGGGGTGGGAGGATTCACCAGATACAGAGTGGGGACCAGAACAAGCAGATTGACTGAAATACACTGCTGAGGGGAGTGTAGTGGGTGAGTCAGGAGAGGTCTGCGGCACCATGTGGGTCACCTCCCTGGTCCAAGATCCAACTCATGCTGCAGTGGCTGCGGATAGCTTCATGGTGCTGCGACTTATCCCCTTGCGCCATCAGGGAGACCCCTCACTATGTTTTTAAAAAAAACAAATCAGAATCCTAAATATGAATGGGAACACTTAAGTTCTGATGATAATTCAAATAAGAAATAGCTTTTGGTCTTGGAGTGGAAAAAAAATTGCTTGGTAGCAAGGAGTAGAAAGACTACTTGCTTTCCCAAAAGCTGGGGAATATTTCTTTAGTTACTGACATAATTTTGTTCCACTTAATCACACAAGACTAACATTGTTTTCCTAGCATCTCACATAGAGATTGCTAATAGACACTTAGATATTTGTTGCAGGAATGAATGTATCTGAACCTTTTTTTAGCTACTTCAATTTTATCAGCCTTGGATTCTCAGCACTCTATTTAGATTATTTTACTTTGGAACAGAAAGATTTTTACTATAGCAAATACATAATTCATACATGACTATGTATTTGCCTTGCACAGTAATATATAACTGGCAAGTATTTGATGAATTAGATATATTAAAATTAAGTAGATTATTTCTATTTAGGTGTGCTGTATTTAATGCAGAATATATTTAAGTGACTATAACTCTCTTAAAATGTAAGAGAGTTTATAGAGTTATTCTGATAAATATAGTGAACAATATAGTATATACAACATATATTGCATGATCTTTTTCTGTAATGAATGTATGTATGCATAGAGGATAAAATGCAGATTATACATTAAAGTATCATCTCTGGGAGACAGGGTTAAATGTGTGGGGCTTTTTTGGAGTGTTTTCTCAATAAGTTCTAATTTTATATAAGTTCTAATTTTTATAATTTCTGAATCTTATAGTCTGGTATATGTCACTATCAAAATTAGCAAAATATTTATATAAAATTTACAAGAGAAAACATTGATTTTTCATACTGTGCTTCTTTTAGGTAGTACATCGAATGTGCTATTGTCTACTCAAGATCCAGTTGAAGATACAGGCTTTGGTGAAGTTACTAATCTCAAGAAAAATGGAGATAGAGAAAAAAGACAAAAGCATTTTCCAGAGAGGAGTTGTAGTTTTAGTTCTGAAAGTCGAGCAGGAATGTTGCTTAAGAAGAGCAGTTTGGATTTGAATTCAAGTGAAGTGGCTATCATGATGGGAGCAGATGCCAAGATTCTCACAGCAGCATTGACATATCCTAAGACTTCTTCACTTCATCTTTCAAGAGCCCATAGCTTTGAGAGTGCTAACTATCATCTAGCTGATACTAGGACTCATATGTCTGAGAGCATGTGGGATTCTGAACACAGATCTTCAGTGTTAGAGATGCTAGAGGAAAGCCAAGAGCTTGTAGAGCCTGTGGCTGATGACAGTATAGCTAAAACTAGTATGACAAAGGATACACATGACAGTCTACAAAATACTAGTAGTAATGATCAATCCATAGACTTAAAGGCAGGATCCAAAGATCCAATGAATAAGAGAGGTAGTTTATATGGTGTTGCTAAAGTTATTGAGAGAGAAGATGTTGAAACTGGACTAGATCCTTTGTCTCTTTTAGCTACTGAATGTGTAGGAGAAAAATCTCCTGATTCTGAAGATAAATTTTCTCCAGTTATTGCCCGGAATCTGGCTGATGAAATTGAAAGCTACATGAACCTGAAAAGTCCTCTGGGCAGCAAGTCTTCTAGTATGGAATTGCACAGAGAAGGAAGCAAAGAGTCTGCCACTACCACTGCATTTATTCACCCTTTAGATAGGAGATCAAGCCTACCTTTAGATCATACTCCGCCAGCACAGGAAAATCCTGAAAATGAAAAGAACTCCCTTGCAGTGTCCAAGTCTAAAACTTTTACTGGGCGTTTGAAGCAGCAGACTCCTACTCGAACTCATAAAGATCGTACAAGTTCTTTATCAGCACTGGTGCGTTCTTCACCACATGGCTCATTGGGTTCTGTGGTAAATTCTTTGTCAGGTCTAAAGCTGGATAATATACTCTCGGGGCCTAAGATGGATGTGCTAAAATCTAGTATGAAACAAGCAGCAACAGTTGCCAGTAAGATGTGGGTAGCTGTAGCATCTGCCTACAACTACTCAGATGACGAGGTAAGAATGTTTTATGTGTATACTCAATCTGAGGTTAGAATGTTTGTAGTATTTCTCTCTATATAAATTATTTTGTGATTTCTGATAACTGTAATTTCTATATTTTAAAATTTTATGCATACCCTATTTCTTGAAATGACTTGGACATACATGTAAGCAAATTAGTAATGAAGAAATAGAATATCAGAAGCTAATTCTGTAGATCAGTGTAAACTAACACATTTAAGATTATTTCTTTGAAAGCACTTATGATTAATGTTTGAATTTAATATTAATACCATGTCAGATAGTACTTCATTTTTAAAATAACTGTTATCTGTTTTGTTTTTAATATATATGAAATCACTCTGCAGCTCAATCCATGGATTTAATACTGTAAAACAAAAATAGTTAATTTTTTTTAAAGATTGTTTTAATATGGTAGTCATTATATATTTTTATAAAATATGAGTGGGTAAATTTTGCTTATTTGTTTTATACTTTAGTAGAAGAGATAGACTTCTATAAGTGTCATTATTATTGTTGGCACTATTTTCTCGTTACTGTCATAGGTTATATATTTCATAACAACCCCATGGTACTACAGTTATCCAGTCTTCAGTGAGGTATCTGAGATTCACAGAGGTTAATTAACTTCTACAGATCACACAGCTAGTGAGTGGCAAAACTAGAATTTGGGAAGTTGGCTCTAGGGTCATACTCTTAACCACTATAACAGCAAAGAAAAGGACAGTATCTTAGAAGAGAGGGGGCGGTTTCCAAAAAAAAAAAAAAATGATATCTGATAGTGATAGTTCTGAACAATTTTTATATTGCTAGTGGAAAGTCTCACAAAACAACCTTATTTTTCATTTTTTTTTTTACATTTTTTTTTTAATTTTTTACATCATTGTTCATTTTTAAACAATATTTACTTCCCCCCCACTCCCTCAGGTGTAGTCCCCATAGTTTCCTTCACCAAGGCACCCGTGCACCATCACCTCAGTCCCCTGTGCGCCCTTATTTTTCTTTTTATTTTTAAGAGAAAAAAATAAGATTTTAATGACATATACATCTCCTGTATACATGGGAAAGACTCAGCATGTCTGCTGACTCATCCACATGGCGTGAGGCGACATCTTAAATATTATATATTAGCTAAGGCAAAGGAAGTTAATATCAAATTCTCCGTTTCAAGCTTACATGGTTTCAGAAAAAAAGTTTTAGTTTTCAATCAATCCAAACCAAAAAGATTAGGGAAAAACTATAAATAAAGTTGGAAAGTTATAGCAGATATTAAAAAATTTAGGATCTAGTCCAGTTCAGGTTAAAAGCAAAAACTTCAAAAATGATTGAGAACTAGAATCTGAACAACCTTATTTTAAGGACTCAAATTATTCATATTTTTTCAGATAATTTAATGAAAAGTTCAAAAAGCAATTTCTGCAGGGTCACATACCTCATTAAGTAATGGAGACCCAAGATCATACTCTTGACAATATGACTCTGAAGCCCCTTTTCTGCTTTATGCTGGGATTCCTGATTCTGTTGGTGACAGTGATCTCCTAGCGTCCCATCATTTTACAGTACTGAATATTGAAAGACATCCCACACTCGTCATATAACAGCAGGGCACGACATAACCTCAAAATATTGAGCCATAAACTTGAGGGTCATGACGGGCAGCAAAATGGTGACTACCAGCAGGGTCGTCAGGTAGTGAAGCCACATATATATACTCCGTTAATAAGGTTCCCAGACAGAAGAGTCAATCCAAAACCCAATGTATCAGAAGCATTTAGGATCATCAGAACTATCATCTCACTCTTCTTCAATTTCACAGCATTCTAGAGGAAGTAAATCACCAGATTGGCTGATGTATTAGGACCTAGCAGACCCTGCAGAAATAGTAAAAACATTACCTCAGAAATACAGGGGGAAACTTGTGTCTCAAGCAGAAATTGATTTGTCCAGCGTGGACTTCCAGAATAATCACTCACGATGTGACTGCTGTTTGTCATCAGGCAAATGAATAGTCCGTACAGTATAGGAATTCCAAAATGACAAATGAGAAGTTGTGTAAATTAAACAGTTTTAATATATACTCTAAAAAAAAGGAAATATAGAAAATGTAGAGGGACACTTGTATCTCCTTCTGTATGTATCTGGTTAGCTTCTCCACAAACTTACCTAATTGTTTATATGCTATATACTTATTAAAGTATGTATTTTTAAATGTAAAGAAAAATTAGGTCATTGCTTGAAAGAAGTTTAATTCATAAAAGGGTAGAGTGAATATTTCCCATTGGGAAAGATGCTATTTATGTATGTGGGGTTTATTCTTTTTGTTTAAAGGAGGAAACTGGTAGAGATTACAGCTTCCCAGCTGGCCTTGAAGACCATATTTTGGGGGAAAATACATCACCCAACACAAGTATCTCAGGGTTGGTCCCCAGTGAACTTACGCAGAGCAACACAAGCCTTGGCAGTAGCAGCAGCAGTGGAGATGTAGGAAAACTGCATTACCCAACAGGTATGGGGGGGCGGGGATTGTCCTAATTTATTTACCCAGGCGTTTTCATCCCCTACCACATGCTGATTAATATGACCCATTTTTGGAGATGATCTGATTTTTAATAGCCACTTTTATATGATGTATAAGTACTACAGTCACAGTTTATTTGTAGTTACATGTATTTGTGGATTATATCATTAGTTCTCAAACTATATTGCCCATCAGTATCAACTGGAAAATTCATTTCAAAATACAAATGTCCAAACGCTAGGCTAACAGTTTCAAGATGGATTCCATATTGATATGAAATCTGTGAGATGGGGCATTTAAGACTTTTTAGGGTTAATTAGGCAAATGTGTGTTAGGATTAAGAGTACCTGGTTCACTTTTTAAAATTGTAATTACATTCATTTTTTTCTTTCTTTCCATTATGAAAAATTTCAGATTGTCCTGAGTGAAATTGAAAGAATCCTATAGTGAACAGTCCATCTAGATTTACTAAACTGATGTTGCTTTTATCTCTGTGTACATACATACATGTTTATACTGGACCATTTGAAAATAAACTGCGGACTTCATACTTTCCTCCTAAATACTTTACTACAGATTTCCAAAGGATAAGGATAGTCACATACATAATGTTTTATGATGTTTACTTCTTTCCAGGTGAAGTTCTGTTTTCAAGAGGCATAAAAGGGCAAGAGTTTGAAAAATCAGACCATGGTTCTCAAAATACTAGCATGTCTAGCATCTATCAGAATTGTGCAATGGAGGTAAAAGTTCCTTATTCTGCCTATGATAAAGTGACTAAATATATTTTTATTTCAGAATGGCATTTAACAGAATTCTATGATACCCATCCTTGTGGACAGAATAAAATAAGTGATTTTGTTGAATGTTTGATATGTAGTCCAGGCAATAAAATGGTAGTTCTTCTTATAAAGTAATTAAGCTGCTAATTGTAAAATTGATCAAGAAAATAAATGAAATTCTACATCTCTCTCAAGAGAATGGCCTATTAAGATTAATTTTCACTGTAGAGGTACTCACTGTCTGCGCTTTTGTGCCCTTAGGTTTTGATGTCAAGTTGTTCACAGTGCAGAACGTGTGAAGCTTTAGTTTATGATGAAGAAATTATGGCTGGATGGATGGCAGATGACTCAAATTTGAATACAACCTGTCCATTTTGTAAAAGCAACTTTTTGCCTCTTCTCAATATAGAATTTAAAGACTTGAGAGGCTCTGCAAGGTTAGTATCATAAAAGCTCCCTTAAGAGGTTGAGTGCCTGCTGAAAGTCAAGACTCCTGGAGGTAGAGAAAATAGTCGTGTTATGCTCAGGTGACCCTTTTCCTTCTCGCCTTCACATTCAGTAAATAAGCAGAATATACTAGAAATGTAGGAGACTACTTTCCATTTTATTTAATATGATTATCAGTGGTAGTTAATTGTTAGGGCTAAACTTTGTATATAATGAATAGAAGGGAGAAGTAATGACTAGAAACAAAACAGATTTATAAGGGGGGGATGTATTATAAACAATTACAGGAATGCTTAGCTTGCTTGCTTCATGGCTTCGTTGAATGGCTCTCAGAAACTGGAAAGATCTTACTGTGAACTGTAACCTTCTCTAGACCTTTTTGTTTGAAAAGTTTAGAAGAAGTAGGGGAGAGAGAATGAGAGTAGCAATGTATACATGTCAGCAACAGGCAGTGTTTCACTTATGGATTGTATAATTCATTAATGACTGCTTTACCATAAAATGCTTCTAAATATGATGGAATATAGAGGACTTCAAGATATTTAAAGACTTTTTTTGGATCTGCTCCACATTTAGCTTTTTCCTGAAACCAAGTACCTCTGGTGACAGTTTACAAAGTGGCAGTATTCCATTGGCAAGTGAACCTTTGGAGCACAAACCTGTATCCAATTCAGCAGAACCTGACTTAATCAACTTTATGGATTTCCCAAAACCTAACCAGACCATAACTGAAGAAACAAACGCTGCAGTTGAATCAAGGTACCAGAGGGTACAGAGAATTCTTTATAAAATATTGGGTAGCCTCATAACAATTACATTTTTTAAAAAAGATTTATTTTATTTATACAAGAACCGGCCAGATGTGCAGGAGGGTGAGAGGATTCACCAATGACAGAACAGGGAACAGAATAGACAGACTGACTGAAATACACTGCTGAGGGGAGCAGCGGGCGAGACAGGAGAGGTCTGCTGCACCATGTGGGTTGCTCTGTGGCTGGCAGGGATCAAACTGGCACTGCAGAGGCTGCGGACAACTTCACAGTGCTGCGCTCAACTGCCTGCTCCTAGAGAGGCCCCAACAATTACATTTTTTAAAGACAGCCTGACTCATTTTTCTACCAAATATTGCTTAATTTTGCTTAATTGCTTAATAATTGCTTAAATATCTAACAAATTAATGTGATGATAAGCCACTTGAAATCATGTTTAATGTTTTCAATGGTCTTTTACAAATTGAACTTATCGACTTAGTAAAAGGATTTCCCTGTTTAGTGTAGTTATTGCCAGTTTCTAGGGTTATATTCTTTTTACTATGAAATGTATTCTTTATTCTTAACTATTGAATGAGTCAAACATTTATTGAGAGCCTATAGTATACTATTATGCTGAGCACTATAATTTAAAATGTAAATCGGATCTGGTCTCTATTCTCGGGTGGATTGTGTCATGGTAGAGATTAATACTTATTTTCATTCACTATATTTCTAGGTGATTTTGTTTCATAAGAATTAAATAACATTTGAATAAAGCACCTGAATGGGCAGCTTAATCTTTTAAAATAATACCTGTTTTCTACCATATGTCTTCTTCTCATCATTCACCAGTCATGTACTCCATACGCCTCTTCTGATCATATTTACAAAAATGCCTAAAGAAAATTTAATTCTCATGAGGTGTTACTGACTCTTCTCAGATATATTTGCAAATGCCATTCATTCTAGAAAATACTCTAGCTCTAGATTTTAGGTTGTTTTACAGCACAAACAGCATTTCTTCTTCATTTTTTTGAAGTGATGAAATAAAGAAAGCCAGTGAAGATGTCCAAACTATGAAAATTTCACCTGTGCCTAATAGTTTATCAAAGCGAAATGTATCTTTGACTCGAAGTCACAGTGTTGGAGGTCCTTTGCAAAATATTGACTTCTCCCAGCGACCATTTCATGGCATTTCAACAGTTAGTCTTCCAAACAGTCTGCAGGAAGTTTTGGTATGTAACAACATGTAGTGATATTGTATGTTCATGTAAGTATTAATTAGAACAGCATATATTCTTCTGTGGTAGATTTACTTCAATCACATGAAAATTGATAAGAATTTTTCATAAATAGGTAAGAACTTTTAAAAATTCTCAAAGCCAAGATCAAAGCACTCAGTAAACTAAATCTGTCATTTCTTATTTATTATATGGCATAAAAACTTCCCCATGTCTTCTGTTTGGTTTTGTAAAGATGCAGTTTATGTTAGAAAGCAGGAGAAAAGTTTAAATTTTTTTTTACTTACCAATTTTCAGAGTAACAAGTTGAGTTCCTAGCAGTGTCCAATCATCAATTGATTTGGGGAAGTAGGGTATAAGACACTCACTGAATTAAATGTTTCTATCCTTTGTTGTTATCTTTATTGGTATTTATATTCATCCCATCTTTATTGAGATAGAAACCTATATAAATCGGTGCCTTGAACCCTTTGACCAACTCTAGTAACCTTTTTGTAATTTTTTTTTTTTTTTTTTTTTTTGTGGGACCCTCACCGGCAGCCGGGAAACGAACCGGCGCTGCAGAGGCTGCGCGCAGCCTTGCAGCCTGGCGCTCAACCGCTGCGCCACCAGGGGAGGCCCTTTTTTGTAATTTCTTTTATTAAAGTTTCCTTGCTTTCTTTTATATAACAAAATTTTTCATGTTCATGTTAAAGATTTCCTTCTCCAAACTACAATCAGCCATTCTCTAAGAAACCCTGATTCTTTTTAGAACAAAATGATATTTGGAGACCTCAATTTGGGCAGCCAGGGGTACTTATTAATGAGTTGGTCATAAACTTTTTCTGATTATGATATACACAACTTATAAGGTCTAGGTTGGTCTTTTTTGCATTTGTTATTTTGTTTGATTCATGAAACTGCTCTTTAGATTTTGTTGTGATCTAATGTGAAAATAAATTAGATACAGTTTTAAAAGAGATCAAAGAATATTAACACAAAATCTTGTCCCCATCTATTTAGAGTTGTAGGGGGAAGATAAAAGTTACACATTTTTTGGTATTATTTGCATCTGAAATGCAATTATTTCTTTATAAAACATTGAAAAGGAAAAATCATATATAAGCCATTGCTCTGTCATGCTGGTAAAGGAAACTACCTTATTTAAATTGGGGCCTGTTACATAGATTATTAATTTCTCTTTTAATCATTTAACTGAAGAATACTTATGATAAAGTGTTGTTTTTTTTTTAATTTATACAAGCACTGGGGTACAGGCCAAAGGTGCGGAAGGGTGAGAGAATTCACCAGAGACAGAGCAGGGAGCAGAACAGGCAGAAGGACCAAAATACACTGCTGAGGGGACCAGCGGGCGAGACAGGAGAGGTCTGCCATGCCATGTGGGAATCTCCCTGGCTGGCCAGGAATCGAACCGGCTCTGCAGAGCCTGCGGACAGCTTCACAGTTCTGCGCTCAACCTTCTGCGCCACCCGGGAGGCCAGATAAAGTGTTTTTTCTTCTTTAGATTTTCATTGGGGTGTTCTACTGCTTGTATCATTAACAATGGCCCTGAAATAACTCATTTGGAAAGGGTAGAGAGAGAAGTATATTCTAATTTAGAAATATTATTCACAATATAGAATTAAACTGATAACAATAATTTTTTTGTTTTTATATTTTTAAGGATCCTTTAGGAAAAAGACCCAATCCTCTCCCTGTTTCTGTGCCCTACTTGAGTCCTCTAGTGCTTCGTAAAGAGCTTGAGTCTTTGTTAGAAAATGAAGGTGATCAGGTGATTCACACATCCTCTTTCATCAATCAACATCCAATCATTTTCTGGAACCTCGTTTGGTATTTCAGACGTTTGGACCTTCCTAGTAACTTGCCAGGACTTATCCTAACATCAGAACATTGTAATGGAGGTGTGCAGGTAGGGTACCATCTTCTTTACTAATAATACATTGGTGTTGGTTAGGAAGAGGCTTAACTCAAAAGTAACAAAGTATGTAGTAGTGACTAAATGAGACATAGGTTATTTATCTCTCATTTAAGAGTTTTAATAGATGGTTCAGAGATGGTCCAGTATTAAGGGCCTGAGATTCTTTTTTTTTTTTTTTTGCTTAACTGTGCATGACCTGTGCATGACCTCCATTTCCAAGTTCTACACTTGGTTGATGATGACTGACTGTACACACAAGCTATGAGGACGAGGAGAAAAATGGATAGAAAAGAATGTGTCTTCTTTATTTAGGGACTTCTCCTGGAGTTGCGCTTAATATTTCCATATATCTGTTTGAGCTGAACTTAGTTACAGGGTCATATCTAGTTGCAAGAGTGGCTAGAACTCTTGAACTATCATTCCCATCTGAAATTCTTTTTTTTTTTAAGATTTATTTTATTTATTTATTTATTTATTTATTTATTTATTTATACAAGCACTGGGTACGGTCAGAAGTGCAGGAGGGTGAGAGAATTCACCAGAGTCAGAGCGGAGAGCAGAGCAGAGCAGGCAGACAGAAGAAGTACACTGCTGAGGGGAGCAGCGGGCGGCAGGAGAGGTCTGCGCGCCATGTGGGACCCTCACCCGGGGGCTGGGGATCGAACTGGCGCTGCAGAGGCTGCGGGCAGCTTCGCAACTCAGTGCTCAACCACTGCGCCACCGGGGAGGCCCCCCATCTAAAATTCTAACTGCAACCTTATTTAATGGACTCATTCATATATTTCAGATGATCCCATTAAAAAAAGTATAATGAGAAGCCAAGATTACAGTCTGGCTTTCTGACTCTCTAAAGCCTCTATTCTACTTGTGCTGTTGCAGTTACCTCCTAGAATCTCATAATTTTACCATATTGAATATTGAGAGATACCCCACACTCCAAACATACACCAGTGTCAGTAATATCTTATTACAAACCCTATTTTGACTCATTTACCTTAAGTTGTAGTCAACCCAATAAGTTAGTAGAAATGATTGCCCTTTTTTTTTTTTAATAATGGCAATTAGTTTTTCATGTGGCCATTGTGCCAGTTACCAAGTTGTCATTCTTGGAAATGAGAATGAGAAACCTGCACTTCAGAAATTAATAAGAACATGTATCATGCTGTAAATAGAAATTAAAATTTTTGCTCAATATTTTAGGTCCTTACCTGTTCTATATAATCAAGCATTGCTAGGTCTATTGGTAATTGTTGTACTTGGGTTACTAATACTTTCTCTTGCTTTCTTTCAGCTTCCTCTGTCATCTCTGTCCCAGGATAGCAAACTTGTGTATATTCAGCTGTTATGGGATAATATCAACCTTCATCAGGAACCAGGAGAACCTCTGTATGTCTCATGGAGGAATTTTAGTAAGTAAAATAGATTTAGACATAAAAGGCTCAAACTAGGAACAACCCAAATATCCATAGGTAAATGAGTAAGCCAATTGGTGGTTTCTGTTGACTCAGAGAGTTCCTGAATAATAAGCCTTTAAACACCTTGTAAAAAAATTTTTTTAGGGCCTCCCCGGTGGCGCAGCGGTTGAGCGCTGGGTTGCAGAGCTGCCCGCGGCCTCTGCAGTGCCGGTTCGATCCCCGGCTGCTCCCCGGCCACCGGAGGAGGGTCCCGCATGGCGCGCAGACCTCTCCTGGCGCCCGCTGCTCCCCTCAGCGGTGTGCTTCGGCCCTTCTGCCTGCTCTGCTCCCCACTCTGGCTCTGGTGAATTCTCTCACCCTCCCGCGCTTCTGACTGTGCCCAGTGCTTGTATAAATAAAATAAATAAATAAAACATGCCTCTAAAAAAAAAAAAAATCTTTAAAAAAAAAAAAATTTTTTTATCTGCAGCCCCCCAAATATTCTAAGTATAATAATGAAAAGCAAAACTGGAATCTTTGAGACTAATATACACGTAAGTGAAATTATGACTTTTATATCAACACATCCAAATTATTTTTCTATTACATAGAATTTACTCCCAAGGACATACCTAGCCAAATTGGTATTTAACAGAAAAATCACAAAAAATACTCTTCAAGACTCAGTTGGAGACCCAACAGAGTTAAATGTGTTAGTACTATAGCAACTCATTTTGAACTAAAATGGAAAGAATCTTGAAGAGATACTAAAAATTAATGAAAAAAACTTTTAGAAAGCAAAATATAGTCTCATTTCTTTAATTCTGTTCTCCCTCCTCTTCCCCCAGTAGTCCCTTCTTTATTGCTAAATAGTATTCTACTATATAGACAGAGTATATGTCATAATTTGCTTACTCATTTACCTATGGATGGATGCTTTTAATGTTAGTATGTTTCAATTCCACTTGCCACTGAAGCACTTTCATAATCTATGAATTTTTTTTTAACATTTTTATTTATTTAGGTATACAAGCTGGGGTGTAGGCCAGATATGTCGGAGTGGGGGGTGAGAGGGTTCACAAGAGACAGAATGGTGAGCAGAACAGGCAGATCTACTAAAATACACTGCTGAGGGGAGCCATAGGGGAGACAGAAGAGGTCTTCTGTGCCCTGTGGGTTAGCTCCCTGGCTGGAGATCAAACTCATGCTATAGTGGCTGGTGATAGCTTGATAGCACCGAGACTTTAACTCTTGCACCACAAGGGAGGCCTGATCTATGAATTCTATATAAATGTGTGCATTTAATATTTCTAGAGTTACCCTCATATCAATTAGGATTATGCTCTGCTATATTTAATAGAAAATAATAGAAGTTTAAGTAAGTAAAGAGTATTTGCCCACATAAAGAAGTTATGAAATCGACACTCCTGGACTAGTGCGCAATGCCTTTGTCATCAGGGACCCTGACTCCTTCCTTCTTTTTTGCATTTGTATCACTGTCGGTAAAGCTGGTGTACAAACTGTCATCCCATTGCTAAACACAAATTCGTAATTTTGTGGGAATAGCAAAGGGTTGGCCCGTCTCCTCTCTGAAGAGAACAGGGAAAATATTTTTTAGTGAGTCACATTTTCACATAAATTTTACTAGCAAGGGGAAGGCAATATTGAGTAGAAAAAAACAATGAGTAGAAAAGTGCTACAATTCTGGGAAAACAATCTGTAATTAAAGTGAATAAATGTGCTCTTAATTACTGTTTTCTTCTTATTAGATTCTGAAAAGAAATTGTCTCTCCTGTCAGAGGAACAACAAGCAACAAGCACTTTAGTAGAAACCATTAGGCAGAGTATTCAACATAATGATGTTCTTAAACCCATCCACCTGCTTTCACAGCAAGTGAAGCCAGACATGAAAAGACAAAGGTAATAATCCATTTACTTGACAGCACTCAAAACAATTTTATGATTTTTTTACAATTAATTTAAAAAATATCTGTAGTTGTATTAGAAACACATACTCATTGTAGAACATTTGTTTAGAAAGTGCTATCCAAATGTATGCATTCATACCTGAGCAGAGATAATAATAAAAGTGTCTCTATGGGGGGGATAGATTAAAATTTAGTAGGAAACTCATTGATGTATAAAATGCAGTGAACCTTTGGGAAATATTACTGCAATTCACTGTAAACTTATGATTTTAACATGTACAAGTTGTTTTGTACACACACACACCTATCAGGTCCCGTCACACACACATCTCTTCTCATAGGAGATAAGGAAAATATATGGGCTTAGTAATAGAAATAATTTAGGAAAGTGGTAGGAGCAGTTCAGGCAGATAATTACAAAGAGAATGAAGCCTTCCAATCCTCATGCTGTTGTCTAACGTGTGTTGGTCAGTAATCATCCCAATCTCAGCATGTGGATTTTGTAGTAGAAACTTGAGAAAAGGGAACATAACCAATTCTACCAAACAACTAAATTTCCAAGTCATGGCATCTTTGAAGATAATCTCACAAATGATAGGGCAATAATTGATCATGAAAATGAATGGCTCCCGCTGGAGTCTAAAGAGTCGAGGAAGAGATGACCTTCACAATCTAAAGAACAGCTAGTTTTATGTAGCTGTTGTTTAAGGGCAGAAAAAAGACTACTAGATATGACATGTTATGGCTTCTGAAGCTTCTAATGAAAGCTACACATGAAGTATTAGAATATTGTTATAATTATTTTCTGTGTAAATGCTCAGAAATAAGTTAAGGATTGTCCTCATAATTAACATTTTACATGTGACATTTTTATGTTCACAAACCTAATAAAAGTGATTTGCCCTTAATCATTTAATTAAATAGTGAAGAGACCACACTACTTTTCACACTTTGTTTCCAAGGATTTTAGACCTAACTTACTTTGAAATTCTTTTGTTAAGTGGCAAAAGATAAGATTTGGCTTTTGTAGTTTTAATTAGAAATTGGTGTTAAAACAATCATATATCGCTTATATTGTTAGAAATTATAATGCAGTTAAAATAAATCATCTTTGTTTTTTGTGTGAAATTTTATGCCCTGTAACTTTTTAGTATTTTCTAAAAGTTACAAAAATAGTATAGAATTCATTATACCCTTTACCCAGATTCCCCTGCAGTATCAAGCCAGGACATTGACATGAGTGCATACATTACTGCTAACTAGATTACAAAATGGAATCTTTTCTCCACATTTTAAATAGCCTTCATTTGTGTCTTTTTATGCTTTTTGCTCATTGTTTTAAAATGTTTATTTTTATAGGAGTTTATACAGAGAAATCCTCTTCTTATCATTAGTGTCTCTTGGAAGAGAGAATATTGATATTGGTAAGTTAGTTAATAATGACTAGAGATTTTGTTATTTTAAAAATTGTCATGGGTATGGGTAAATACTCCTTGCCTTTAAAAAGATTTCTACTTTTTAAACATGCAATTTGAATATATATTTTACTCTACCATTTTAAAATGCATGACTTTTAACAAATTACAACTGTACTTTTGAAAATGTCTTTCAGAGGCTTTTGACAATGAATATGGACTTGCATATAATAGTCTATCTTCAGAAATTCTTGAAAAGTTGCAGAAAATCGATGCTCCACCAAGCATCAGTGTGGAATGGTGCAGGAAATGTTTTGGAGCACCTCTCATTTAAATAAGATTCACTCAAGTTTTGGTCACAAAGCTGGGGAACAGATTCAATCTGGAAACATTTAAAGATTTTTTCCAAATCCTAATAGATGAAATGCTGAAATGAAATTTTGTAATATATAATGAAATGTAATTCACACTGAATCATCTCACAATGTAAAAATGCTATTAAGATGACCCAAGTCTATTGATGCGGAAGATTTTCAATTTATCTGCCTCTGCTAAAAACTGTTTTTTGATTTCCCAGTGTTTCAAGTAGCTTGGTAATGAGAAACCACATTCACCCTTGGTATTGTGTTTGTATTAGAAGCTATTAGGTTTGGGGAATGGCAAACTTGTCTAATCCCCAAACAAATGAAATCTCTCAATTTTAAGAGCAACTCTGTTTATGTGTATATATGTGTGGCTGTGTAGGTATGTGTATATACAGCCATATTATAAGTATGTATTTATTAATTCTTAGATTGCGTGTTGCAATATAATTATCTGAAAGGGGTCTCTATTAAATGACTAATACTATAGTCATCTGTAGTCATTAATCTCAAAATTACCTGAAAGTCTGTTCACAATTGCCTTGCCTCTGACTTTAAACTTTTTATCTTTCCTCCATATTATGTCTTGTCTTGCACTATGGATTGTATCTTGAATAGCCAGTTACTTACCCCTTCCAATACCATGTTAATTTGCAGCAGCTTTAAAATTGGAAAGTGAGCCAATCAGACAGTTGTAAGTGAATAAAATCAGCTTCCTAGTTTACATAACGAGCATGCTTAAATGCTCATGTAGTCTTTGGGTCTGAAATTGTTCTGGCACATACGTTACCCGTCACTTTTAAAAACCTGTGGGATAAACTTGCACTGCACACGGTTTTATTCTTGTATAATACTTAGATTTGTATGCTTGTGAGTAAAAATGTGCATTTGTAAATATTGTTTTTTTAGGTTGAATCAATTAAGTCTTAAAACTTTAGTTTGTTGAACTTGTTGCCAGTAGGTTGAAGAAAATCATGACCTCATATGCCTCACTGACATTTATCATGCCTTTAAGATATCCCTTAGCAACAGTCAGTTGCCTTAACTGTGTGGTTTAAAAAGCCAATGGTTGTGAGCTTTTAGTTATTACCCAGACTAACTCATCTGATGGAAAAATATATTCCTAGGTGGTACAGCTAACAGCACAAATGTCCTTTCCACCTGGTGTAATCTAAAATTTGATGTACCAGTCTCTCAACATTTCAGGGTTAACTAAGACCTATGGAGAATTCTAGTTTCAATTTGTTTGTGAAAGAACATACCAGAAATTATGTAATTCCCATCTCCAAAATGGACCTTTTGCACTGTCTCAGAGTTATCTATTTTTGCAATGTAAGACTTGGTACTAGTATTTTATACTAAACACTTATTGGCCCAACAGAAAGTTTGGAATTAGTCTTGCATATAGAAAATTGAATTTGAATAAAATAAAAAATTTTTAAGTTTGCTGTGCTTGTCTGTTACATTATTAAGGCTCATGAAATGTTTGATTCACTTGGGACTTTTATATATTTCGTATTTCATTGTTTTTCCATTTTAATCTTAACTGACTTACCTGAAGAGCTTACACATTTGACTGTATCGTCAAATTACACATTGAGTATCTTTTTATAACTTTATAACCTTTAGGCATTTTGTATTGGTAATCTTTCCCTGCAGGCCTAAAAAAAGGCTGTAAAAACTGCCTTTAAAGGCCTTTTCTAACACCTACCAGAGTATCACTAAAAATACAAAGTAAACAAACCCCTATTATCTAGAGATAACTTGTAGCACTGTTATTAACTGTTATAAAACATCTCAAATTAACCCAGATTGCTTAGCATTTATTTTATGTTGGTTTGGATTTTATATTGATTTAACTTTATTTGCATTTTGTAGTTCGATTACAGCAGCTTACATGGTCAAAGAACTCTTGGGCAGTCATACCTTTGTGATTTTTATCAATAGTTGCTGCCTCTTCATTTTTGGTACGTACAGGGTTGAACACTATACGTAAAATGTTCTCCCACATCCTTTAGCAAATCCTCAAATCTAAATCTGCCAGAATTCCTAACTGGAATAGTTTAGAGATGCAACTTTTTTATTTTTGCTTTATCAAGTTGTATTCCTTAAGTAAGGAAGCAGAACTTTTTGGGCGTATCGATCAGACATGCCTTCTGGCCTATTACTGCATCAAGTCAGTCAGGCCTTTTGTTTGGGTGTCTTTAAAAATGCTATTTTGGGACTATAACTAACCAAGATGGAAATGCATACATTGTACAAAAATGAAAAATGATGTAAAAAATATTTTAAAATGCTATTTTTTTTAATCTTCTATAGTTCAGCTTTTAGTTTACATTAATGTCAACTGCCAAGGAAGACCTCTCATTACAAGTTTTTGGCACCATGTGGGAAGCAAAAGAAATCTCTATTATCTCAGCTATCTTTTCACAGCAGAAAAAAGGACTGGCATCAGCTTAAAACTTAGTAGTACAGGGCCTCCCTGGTAGCGCAGGCAGTTGAGCACAGCACTGTGAAGCTGTCCACAGCCTCTGCAGTGCCAGTTAGATCCCCGCTGGCCTCGGAGCAACCCACATGGCCAGCAGACCTCTCCTGTCTCGCCCGCTGCTCCCCTCAGCAGTGAGTTTCATCAGTCTGCCTGTTTCTGTTCCCTGCTGTGTCTCTGGTGAATCCTCTCACCCTTCCGCGCATCTGTACTGTACCCTGGCTCTTGCATAAACAAAATAAATCTTAAAAAAAAAAAAAAAAAACTTAGTAATGCAGATGCTCATTTAAATTGTGAAACACTGACTCAGTCTATCTGAAAATTTTATTCACCTGTGATTAAAACACATACTCCAGCAAACAAGCAGCTCCCTTTTTTATACCAACCTTTAAAGCCTAACCTGCATTCTTTAAGATGCCGCTAGTTTGGTAGAGGTTTGAATGCAAGGTTAGTAACTTTAAATGTCACTCTAAAAACTATACATGGTACATTAGAAAAATTATATTCTTTCTTAAAGAGGTAAAGTTGGCCTCCCCAGTGGCGCAGCGGTTGAGCGCTGGGTTGCGAAGCTGCCCGCAGCCTCTGCAGCACCGGTTCGATCCCCGGCTGCTCCCCGGCCACCGGAGGAGGGTCCCACATGGCGCGCAGACCTCTCCTGCCGCCCGCTGCTCCCCTCAGCAGTGTACTTCGGTCCTTCTGCCTGCTCTGCTCCCCGCTCTGGCTCTGGTGAATTCTCTCACCCTCCCACGCTTCTGACTGTACCCAGTGCTTGTATAAATAAAATAAAAAATAAAAAAGTTTAAAAAAAAAAAAAAAGAAAACAGTAAAAAAAAAAAAAAAAAAAGAGGTAAAGTTAACTCCTTTTCAGAGTGTGAAACAAAAGCATAAATAGCAATTCACTAGACTTGAAATGCTTTGTTAATGCAGAATATTTGCACTGGTTCTAAAAAGTTGTGAACTGTTTAAAAATTAACTCTATTAAAATGTTTTTAAAGATGTCCCTTTTACATGTGGCCAATGTCCATTTTTACAAAGGCATTTCTGTGTATTGTGTATTCTTCAAAATAAAGTATAAAAATATTATTGTCATTTATTTTCTCTAAACTGTTCCAGCCTTGCTTTAGAGACAATACCTTTTGCTAAGAATCCTTTCCTGAGTCCTCCACTAGTGCCAAAAGAATCCTCTGTGGCCATCTTTTCCTACTATCACATTACAGGGCTGTCTCTGAATTTTAATGCACTACCCTTTAGACATTATCCACCATTAGACTACTGAATACAATACACCACAACACCCAAGTTTCCCTCCACTTATCCAAGTTTGACCATCAATGAAAATCAAAGGAGGTTTGATGTCTGGTCTTATTTATTTGTTACTTTTAGAAAATCTCATTTTTGACTAGACTCAGACTTGGAGGTGGAAGCTCTCAGAGAAGACAGCCTCCGTCTCTTGGCAATCTGTTCCTGGCGTTTTTCTTTGGCCTCCTAAATAAAGCAAAAAAAAAAAAAAAAAAGGCAGTTAAAGCCTGGCAAAGTTAATCCAACACCATATCTGACACTTCACCATTCCCCATCACCTGAGGACTTACCTTCATTCTCTTGGCCAAAAGTTTAGCATACTCTGCAGCTTCTTCCTTATTTTTCTTAGTACGCTGTTTCTTCAGAGCAATACGCCGACGTTTGTGCTGCAGAACGCGTGGAGTAACAAGACGCTGAATCTTGGGAGCTTTGGTCCTGGGTTTTTTACCTAAAGATTCAGAAAATGGCGTAATCACTTCTCAAGAAAACCCTGGTTCATTGGGAGTAACATCTACATTCTTAAAACATTAAATCAGATAAAAACTTCAGTTAGTGGTAACTATGAGAACTTATAGGAGAGCTTTTAAATCTATTCTACAATTCGAAATATCACCTTGTCAGCAAATCCCCTTCTCCCACCCAAAATGGGTTCATGTGGGCAAGACCTAACGAAACTGATCACTTTATTACCAATGCCAGTGTTTTATTACTTGGGATGTGTAATTCTCCTAAGACAGCCAATTGAATTATACCAGTAGTTTGGATGTCAAGTTCATCAGCAACAGTAAGTTTAGGTTACTCTGGCTAACGATGCAAGTCTTAAGTTTTTTTCCTGCTCAGTTTGATTTACCTTCCATAAATAAGATGGTCCTAGTGTAAGGTTTTACATTATCTTTGCACACTAAAGCACTAGGAACTCTGCATATTTAAAAGGCCTCTGAAAATTTAAAGCATTAGCTGTACCAAGTCCTGCCATACTTTGATTTGTATTCCAAAATCCTACAGATTACAGATCTGCCTCAAGCATCTTTCCAGGAAAAATAATTTTAGTACGTGAACACCCTGAGGGAGTAATAAACACCCCAGACAAATGTCCTAAGATTTACAGCAACTTAAACAATTCTTATTATAAAAATATTAAGAACAATCTTAAAAATACCTGTCAATTAGCACAGATATTATTTCCAGGAGTGTGATTATAGTAAACTACCATGTATTCCTTTAAGAGTAAACTTCATGAAACGGTAGCTGTCTCTACAGTATCCTCTACACTTAAAATGGTAACTTGTCACATGGTAGGTGCTGAAGTATTTGCTATTAGGTAAACAGTGAACACTGTATACCAGGTATACCGTTAAGTCCCCAGTTCTGAAAACCCAAACCTGCCCTATCTTTTTCAGATGTCAGGAAAACGCAACCTGAATCAACCTGTATTTATTCCACTTACTACAAACACTTAGACATTTTCCCACAAAAATACTTAAATTTACAAAGTACTGTCAAAATCTCACTGGTAATTGGTTATGTTGCCTAATAAATGTTATGTACCTTCTTAAACTATAAAACTCCAAAACCCAGTCATCTACTCCCTTGTATTTTCCCAACCTAATCCTCCCAACTTTTGCTACCCCACCCCACAGATGGAGAAAACATGAACTTCTTTTAACAACAAAATACCCTGATGGGGGTGGGGAAGCCTGGGTATACTAGGGGTCTGTTTAATCATAGTCCCAGATATTTTGAACCTGAAACCAAAAGCAATAAATTCAACATCAATTAAGTTATTTTGAAGTGAACTTACACATCTGTGCTTCACAGACAAATTTTCAAGAAAAATTAAATTAGGTGCAGAATACAATAGGGGTTAATACCTACTGCATATTTTCAACATCTTCCCCATGTTTTCGTTAAAACCCAGACCTCCCAGTAAATAATGGGGCACATATTTGATCTGTACACAAAACCAGTGACATGTCACTGAAATTACAGGCAGCTAGTCACAAACTGTTGAAATTAAGCCATAAAAAATGCATGCATCCATTCCCCTACCTTCTTTGTTTAGGGGCTTCCTCACAACATATTGGCGGACATCATCCTCTTTAGAGAGATTAAAAAGTTTTCGGATTCTGCTGGCTCTTTTGGGCCCCAGGCGGCGAGGCACAGTAGTATCCGTGAGTCCAGGAATATCCTTCTCTCCTGAAAGAAAAGTGAACAAAAGATATTTTAATTTTAGTTCAACAACTTCCTTACAAACAACCCTCAGTTAGTAGTACTGGCAGACATAGTAGACAGGTCAAGCTGGAGACAATGTAAAAGACCAAGGTACTTAGCCAATATTTAAAATCAATGTCAACATAAATCCAAGAACCCATCTTGAATGAGCCTCACCTTTTTTCACAATGACCAAGTTGAGAACACTGAGGTTGGCATCCACAATACAACCCCGAACAGATTTGCGCTTTCTTTCACCAGTCCTCCTCGGTCTGTAACAGGAATGCCCCTTGCTCAGCAGCAGGCGAACCCGACCATGGGTCAAGACACCCTGCTTCATGGGGAAACCTTGTTTGTCGTTTCCACCACTGATTCGAACCACATAGCCCTGCAGAAAAAGACAGTATCTCATGACTGTGGCCTCTATGAAAGTAAACTCTCAAGTTACATACAGTTTAGCAAAACCCATTTGAGGTCTTTTCTTTCACTAAGCTCACTGAAGTTTTCCCTAGTCACTAAGTTTTGTCTGCATTTCCCATTTGTTACATTTGCAAATTCCTGTCAAAAAATCATAATCTCCTTTGACTACACAACCCCACGAGGTGACAGCCCTACCTTACAGTGACATTTGGAAATAACCCAAGGTCAGAAGACAGCAACCGGAGATTGAGCCTCATTACATACACCCATCACTAAAAGCCTACCTCCTAAAATAGCTGCACCTAGTTAATTCGGCGGACATTTACCTTCCATTCTTCACCCAGAGCGTCTGCAGCAACCTCTGTGGCCATACGCTTCTCATAGAAAGTTCGAAGTTTGCGCTCATCGTCCACTTCAATGAGTTTTTGGCAGCCAGTGGCTGGGAAAGAGATGTTCAGCTGAGGATTAAGCAGGGGAGAAAAACAACTTGATGAAAATGCAGAACCTACCACCTCCGCGAGTCATCTCACTGCAAGAAGCCCTTCAGGTCACTCCAAGCAGCAGAAAATCTGACACCGATTTTATTCACTGAAGCACGTGTGGGCTTAGCAACTCTCAAATGCACCGCGCTAACAACAGGACTCATTTTCCGCAAGCCTCTCGGAATGACTCCGGGGGCCGAGGGTCGCCCCGAAGTCATTCACCTTTCCGAAGCGAACCCAACTCCGGGGAGGCACGCGCACACATGTCCCCGCCGGACTCTAGGTCGCCGCCATGGCGCTCCCGGCCCAGCGTCACTCCAATCGCAATCGCTCGCCATCCGCTCTTCCAAAAAAGCTCCAGCTCCACAAGAGCGAGCTTTTTCTTGCCTCAGCCCACGCTCTATCCAGAGCCAGGGCTTCGTAGAGCAAGGCCTGCAGCAGCGTCGTGTTCTGGGGATCGATCCACGTTCTCCAAGATCACACCAACACCCGCCACCATTTCCTACCTTCATGTTGAAGCACCCGACTGCCTCTCAGGCGCCACGAAAAAGAGGCCCGACTTCCGCTTAGCCCTGGTCTCATAGGCACTGCCAGTTATCGCGAGAGGGAAAGACGGCCTGAGATAGCGGAAGTGAGGTGAGGCGGAACTTCCGGGGGTGGGAATAATGCGTAGCGGGGAGGAGCGTTCCGCTGACTGCTGCGTCCTGGCTGTGGCGGTGGCGGGGCTTTGGGGCCGTTTTCCGTCTAAGAATTGCATCTACCTCCTGGTCTCTCCGCTCTTTTCTGGGCTGGGCCTGCGCCCCAACCGCGTTCCGGACATTGTACATCTGATGGCACCAAAGACAGTGCGGGAGCTGGCTTCCGGCTTTCTTCGGCCGTGCTGTCCCCCCAACTCTGCGCTAGGAGTTCCGAGACACCCTCAAAGCCGGGATTTGTTTTTCCTTAAACACTCGATGAGCCTCTTCTTGTTTAGCCTTTTTTTAGTCTTCGTTGTTCTTTCACAGAATGACCCCCTCAGCCACCATGTCGCGCAACATAATTACTCCCAAACCAGAACACTGTCAGTGCCTGCTATCCCTGCTTTCTGTCTCTCCATCTTTTTTTTTCCAGGATTATTATTATTATTTTTTACATCATTGTTCATTTTTAAACTATATTTGCTTACCCCACCCCCTCAGGTGTAGTCCCCAGAGAGTTTC